GGTTGAGGTCCGGCAGGGAACACTGGCGGTGATGGTCGTGGTTGAGGTCCGGCAGGGAACACTGGGCGTGGATGGTCGTGGTTGAGGTCCGACAGAGACCACTGTGCGTCGAGGGTCGCGGTTGAGCAGGAGGAGGAGGAGAGGAGAGGAGGAGGAGAAGGAGGACGAGAAGAGGGAGGAGAAGGAGGAGGACGAGGACGAGGAGGACGAGGAGGACGAGGAGGAAGCAACTGACATAAAATCTAACAACCCTCACCTGGCAGGTGGGGAAAAACAGGGCGCCGCGCCTCCCCCTTGCAAAGCGTCACATGGTCATGATACATTCATTCGCAATATAGGAAAGATAGAATAAAAAGGAAAAGATAGGATAAGATAGGGTAACATAGGAAAAGATAGGGTAAGATAGGGTAAGATAGAGTAAGATAGGGTAAGATACATAGAAAGACAAATAGATAGATATAAAGAAAGATAGATAGATTGATTGATTGATTGAGATATAGATATAGACATAGACGTAGGTGTAGATGTGGAGCCGAAGGAGCCATAAGAGCGAAAAGCCACAGGAGCCGAAGGAGCCATAGGAGCCGAAGAAGCCAGAGGAGCCGGAGGAGCCATGTACCAAAGAAGCTAAAAGACAAGCAGCCAGAAGCCAAAAAGCCAAGAAGCCACCAGGAGCCACCAGGGACACAGGAGCCGAAGGAGCCACAGAAGCCAGGAGCCACACAGGGAACCATAGGAGCCACCAGGAACCAAGGAGAAAAAAAAGAAACAAATTAAATTACCCTCCCTCATTTTTTGAGGGCGGCACCCCGTGGGGGAGTGAATTTTCATTAAAAATGATGATAAAACACTGTAAATACCGATGTTTTATGCATTTGGAGGGTCTAAAACCCTAGTAAAACACACTTTTTTCATCATAATCTTGACATGAGATATACAAAAACATTGACAGGCACCAAAAAAAACAAAAAAACAAACCACTAGATGCACCAAACATCGACAGGCACCAAAAAAACAAAAATTCCAGCAACTACTCAGAAGTGGACCCTATCATAGTTCCTGGAAATTTTAGTTTTTTTTGTTTTTTTGGTGCCTGTGCACGTTTGGTGCATCTAGTGGTTTGTGTTTTTTGTTTTTTTTGGTGCCTGTGCAGGTTTGGTGACTCTGACTTCACAAAACATTGACAGGCACCAAAAAAAACAAAAAAAACAAACCACTAGATGCACCAAACATCGACAGGCACCAAAAAAAACAAAAAAAACAAAAATTCCAGCAACTACTCAGAAGTGGACCCATAGTTCCTGGAAATTTTAGTTTTTTTGGTTTTTTTGGTGCCTGTGCAGGTTTGGTGCATCTAGTGGTTTGTTTTTTTTGTTTTTTTTGGTGCCTGTGCAGGTTTGGTGACTCTGACTTCACAAAACATTGACAGGCACCAAAAAAAACAAAAAAACAAACCACTAGATGCACCAAACATCGACAGGCACCAAAAAAACCAAAAAAAAACAAAAAATCCAGCAACTACTCAGAAGTGGACCCATAGTTCCTGGAAATTTTAGGTTTTTTTTTCCACCTATATCCACCTATATAATGTATGCCCTTCCCACCATACTTCTTATGTAGCGCAAATGCTTCTATATACAATATATATATGTTAAGATGATATCAATCTAACAAGTTCATGAAGAAACACCTATATCATATCAATTGCTTTTAGCAATAGAATTTCTCCATCACCTCCATCACACTAGTCACCTATTGCTACTCTATATTCTGTTCCAAGATGTGCAGCTACCCATTCTTATGGCATGTTGTGCAGCAGATGTTTTCTGTTATGTGCTGATTGTTTGTAGTTCTTTGCAAGCCTCACAGGAAAAATTGAATCCTGCCACAAGAGTCTGTAAATGCCAGTGATTTATGACAGCATATGAGAGCCTTTGGAGGTGAACTCTATTTTTTGCTCTAAAATAACGGTTTTAAGCCCACTTTGGTCACAAAACACTGTAAATACCAGTATTTTTGACCATTTTTAGAGCAAAAATCACTCCCCCATGAGGGGCCGTTCTGCATTTTTTTGGGGGTCCTTAATGTTTCCTTGCTAACTTCCAACAATCTCCCGATAACATGGGTTTCGTTTTTGGTCCTAAAATAGCCCGTCTACCACTGGTCAGGTACATCCTTTCATTCGAAAGCTAGCTTGTATTTGTAAAGAATGGCAATTTGTATGCTTCCTTCCCTGCTTTTCCTCCTTCATTTCCTCCTTCCTTTCTTTTCCACCCCTCTTTCCTTCCCTCTTTCCTTCCCTCTTTCCTTCCCTCTTTCCTTTCCTCTTTCCTTTCCTCTTTCCTTTCCTCTTTCCTTTCCTCTTTCCTTTCCTCTTTCCTTTCCTCTTTCCTTTCTTTTCTTTTCCTTTCTTTTCCTTTCTTATCCTTTCTTTTCCTTTCTTTTCCTTTCTTTTCCTTTCTTTTCCTTTCTTTTCCTTTCTTTCCCTGTCTTCCCCTCCTTCCCTCCTTCCCTCCTTCCCTCCTTCCTTCCCTCCTTCCCTCCTTCCCTCCTTCCTTCCCTCCTCCCTCCCTCCCTCCGTCCGTCCTTCCTTTCCTGCTTCCTTTCCTTCCTTCCTTTCCTTGCTTCCCTTCTTTCATTCCTTCCTTCCTTTCCTTGCTTCCCTTCTTTCCTTCCTTCCTTCCTTTCTTGCTTCCCTTCTTTCATTCCTTCCCTCCTTTCCTTGCTTCCCTTCTTTCCTTCCTTCCTTCCTTTCCTTGCTTCCCTTCTTTCATTCCTTCCTTCCTTTCTTGCTTCCCTTCTTTCCTTCCTTCCTTCCTTTCCTTGCTTCCCTTCTTTCCTTCCTTCCTTCCTTTCCTTGTTTCCTTCTTTCATTCCTTCCTTCCTTTCTTGCTTCCCTTCTTTCATTCCTTCCTTCCTTTCCTTGCTTCCCTTCTTTCCTTCCTTCCTTTCCTTGCTTCCCTTCTTTCATTCCTTCTTTCCTTCCTTCCTTCCTTCCTTTCTTGCTTCCCTTCCTTCCTCCTTCCTTCTTTCCTTCCTTTCTCTCCTTCCTTCCTTCCTTCATTCCTTCCTTCCTTTCCTGCTTCCTTTCTCTCCTTCCTTCCTTCCCTTCCTCTTCCTTCTTCCTTCCTTCCTTCCTTCCTTCCTTCCTTCCTTTCTTGTTTCCCTTCTCTCCTTCCTTCCTTCCTTCCTTTCCTGCTTCCCTTCTCTCCTTCCTTCCTTCCTTCCTTCCTTTTCTTTCCTTTATTTAAATTTCTTTTTGATGATTTATTTTTTTTTTGATGAATTATTTTTTTTTGATGATAATTATTTTTTTGATGGTCCTCCCGTTACCGGGAGTATCAAAATTCAGTGCGAAAAAAACACGTCGCTGGGCATCATATATATATAATATACTATTATGTATATATATATATATTATTTTATTTGATACTATAGAATTATATATATATACATATATATATATATATGTGTAAACCACCCAACTTGTGACATAGTGACAGTTTAAACAACGCCCAGTGGATGAGATGTAGCAGTCGCCGTAAGTAAAAGGGGTGTCGCTAATGTTGGTGTCCCTAGCAGTGCTTAAGGTAAACTTAGAATAGCAACGAATTAGTACATTGAGGATCCTCCCACTTAATAACTGGTTAGTAAGTGGGATTATAACACACCTGTAAATGGGATAGCCCTAGTTAGAGGACTTTCCAACCAGGGTTATTAACCACTTACATCACGTGGGATGATTCTGCAAGCAGGTCTCTGCTTTTTTGTAAGATCACATTGAACGAACTTCAGAATTCATCCCGCGATGCTAGCTATCTAGCCATTGGAAACCATTGGTATTATCTCAAACATCATCCAACAGTTCATAACTATATGGTAAAAGGATGAGTTTGTCTGAAAACAGGGCCTCTCCCAGAACTTATCCGATGGTCTATCATCCTTTCTCCCATTAACATTGCCATGTTGGGTCAATTTTTGGTGGTATACCCTATTTCCAGTTCCAAATTTCATACTAAATCCGAGCAAATTACATTCATTGGTGTTCCCAATACATCATAAATCCCCCCAACAAAAATCACATGTTTTCCTTGTTTCTTCGTTTATGAGCAGTGTTCAAAACCCCTAAGATGAAGCAAAATGGTATTTAAATAAATAACCAAAGACTGGGCCACTCTTACAGCAGCCCCGTTCCCCAACAGCAATAAGAGAAGCGGCTCTGACATACTTGCAGATTTTGACAACTTCATCTGACTGAGCCAAGTGCCATATATAAAGTCATGAAACGCGAGATTCGCCCTGGTCAGTGGCCGTTGGTCGCCCTCCTCGGAGAGGTCGGTGGATCGAGTCGTCTCACTGAGCTGGCGGTAGTCGTTGCTGCTTTGCGGCCGATCGCCAGTAACCCGCTGGATATTCGACCTGGTCAGTGGCAGAATCTCCATCGCGTCAGCGTCGGAGGACTGAGTCCAGACAAAATTTGCACAAACAAATTACTGGTGATTCTGGATTCTACCAAAGAATAGGGGATTATCATGGATTATCATTCTTGGTATCCTATTTTTCCATTATAGGATGATGATCCCAATAGGGTTTTTTTTGATACCTATCACATGATATTATCCCCATAAAATAATCATGATTGTAGGAATCATCATAATCCAAAAACAAATGGTATAAATCATCATGATCCATCTACACCAAAAAATTGGATTATCATTGCCAATCTTAGATACCCTGCAAAAAAATGTTTTTTTGCTGGTGAACGTAGATATTCCCATTAATACCAAAAGACTAGTTAGGATTAAAGTATCCATGTAAAATTGAGCTACGTAGTTATATACTAACTGGTTAGTAAGTGGGATTATAAGCCACCTGTAAATGGGATAGCCCTAGTTAGAGGACTTTCCAACCAGGGTTATTAACCCCTTATGTTTCTACCCCCAAAAATCGTGAACTCCCATGCCTCTGGATCCATCCAGGTCCGTGGCAGGTGACCGGACGTCCACTCCTGTGGCAAGTCGCAGAACAGGATGGGGAGCTCGGCCTTGGAAAGGTGTGCGAACGCGAAGCCCCATAAAAAAAAACCTCCGGTAAACTAACATAGCTATTGAAAATGGTGTTTAATGGTGTTTAATGGGTACTTGATGATACAAGGTGGTGCCACCCCAGTGATGTGAATGTTGGTTTATAATCCCATGAACTAGTTTGATATATCTACCATAAGTCCTAGTTTTTAGAGTTATGTTCACCAACTTAGCTAACTATGGGGCACCACATTGTAGCTATTGAAAATCACCATGTTTAGTGAGTAAATCAACTATTTCGACTGGGCCATTTTCAATAGTTATGTTAGTTTACCAGAGGGGAAAACATCTATACAAGGTGATGCCAAACCAGTTATTTTTTGGTTACCACTACTAACTATGAATATATCATGATATACCTACATATACCTACTATAAACCCAAGTTATTGGAACTATGTGCACCAACTTAGCTATGGAGCACCACCTTGTAATGGGACTATACTAGTTAGTTATCAATAGCCAAAAAGGAAATGTATGAAAAATCCCTTCCCCCCAAGATACATTTTAAGGGGTGGATCATTTCGCTATTGAAAGTAACCATTTGTAGTTGTTTTACATATAAAAATTGTACTTTGCATAGCTATGTTTGTTTACCACAGGGTATATCCCCATTCATTACATTTCCACTTTGGATGGTCAAAACTAGCCATTTTTTGGTAACCACAAAACTAACTATGAATATATCTGCAAAATACGTTAGCTTACCGGAATGTATATCCCATTCATATCCCTATGAATCATGTTTAAACCTACGGGCTGAAAACCGAACCAGCGTTTTGTAGGTTTTTTGAAGTCTTCATATGATATAGTGGGGTGGGGCGGGGTGAGGTGGGGTGGGGTAAGTAACGTACATGCTACGCTGCTGCAAGTTTTCTTCCACTTCCATACAGACGTCATGCTACGCTGCTGCAAGTTCTCTTGCACTTCCATACAGACCTACATGCTACACTACATGCTACCATACTTTCGTGAAGAACAAAGAATGAAAAAAAACGGCCGCCGCTGTGCTTTTGACCGAAATTAAGTAAAACTGGGCGCCCGAAATTTCTAGAAACAAATTTCAAGCTTCACATTAACAAGTTTAAAAATGATGGTTTTTGTGGGACGAAAGAAAAGGTCAGAAACACGACCCGGTGAAACGCGGGTTCGATAAGCAACCCGCCGGGATGCTTAACCCGATTTGAAATCACATTCAACCACCATAGATGGTGAAAACTATTTTACCAGAGAGTAAACCTTAAAATGATATACCCAAATTATACCCATTATATATATATATATATATCCACGATATACCCTCTGGTAAATTAACATAGACCCTGGCAGATAGGGATTGGAAGATTAGTTTCCATTCAAACTAGGCTATTTCAGGGTCCAACTGTTAATTTACCAGAGGGTACCACTATTGTTAGTTGACCAGGGGTTAAACAAAGCCATGTTCTCCAGTTCTAGGTCTCCCAGGCTCGTTGCGCCGCAAGAACCGCCGCCGTGGCATCTTGACCTTGGCATTGACCAATGATACCCCGTTGTTTCAGTGGATTGGTTTAAAGTTTTTAATGGGGAAAATCCATGGGAAAAAAACATGATTTGATGGATTTTAAGGAAAAAAACATATATTTACAATGGGAAAATCCATGGTTTCGTTTCCCGTTTTTTTCCCTGAATCCATTGATGTGGGTTTGTACCATTTTATAGAAATAAACCTAAAATACAAGTTACTTGGTGGCGAACTACCCACGAATCCTGAGTAAGTGATATCCCTGGTTCATCCAGTGGGATAAGTAAGGTTATTCCACTTACAACTGGGGTTATAACTTAATTTCTAAGTGGGATGAACCACCCAGTATACAGGATTATTTCTATGATGTTTTTGTCAATGAAGTTTATGATTCCAAAAATGGGCTGATTTCACCGACTTAAAACTGGTAGAGGGCCGCAACTGTAGCTATATTAGCTTGGATCCTACGACTCAGGGGGCGCCATGTTGCATTTTATTTGCCTGGTGCTTATAGATCCGCATGTGTGATGGTTAAGTCAGCAATTTAACCAGGCCAATGATGGTTAAACGGTTTAAAAGTACCCTCCAAAAAATTAAATGTATTCAAACATGAATCAAAATGAAACTTGAAATATCTTGAAATTTGTCTTGGATTGTATTTAAATTTCAGACCCTACTGCAGGCCATTCGGGGGACCTGTAGTACCTGAAACGCAGTCAGCATGAATTGAAATTGCGCGTATGCTGTTGGAGACGACCAAATTGCCACATGGTGGCTTTGAAATTGTTGAGCCCCAGGCCCCAATCTCCGTCGCCCTGAGTGGCAAAAAGCGGGTTAGATGCGCGGCTGTTCTCTCTTTCTTGGGGAATCCTTGCGACTCAGCCATGCTACTCATTGCAAGGTATATGAAGTGATCGCAACTACGCATATCGGCGGCTTCAAATTTCAGGTGCTATCAGCGGCGGCTTCAAACTTCGAGTCTTTCAACGATTGGGACTCATGGGAGGAAGGGTGCCCCCTTTGAAACCCTGTGACGCATGCCTGCTGGAGCCTGTAAAAAAAACCATACGCAACGCTTTGAAGCCTGCGCTTGTTATCCCATTGTCCCAAACCTTCTGTTTGCTGTGGAATGTAACTTTGGGGCATATGCGGCACTTGCTGTGTGCATTCATGGGTCTACTAGGGTCTAGGCAGACAAAGTTTTCCCGGTGGCCAGCCACCAAAAAACACGCCGAAATAAATTCTGGCTTTGTGGTGTAGCATTATACCTGAAATCATTTGCAGGTCCATATCTGGGCTTGGGTCGTGCTTGTAGGCTGTGGCAAAGGCACGGTGTCTACTACAAGGCAAAGCTCATGACGAATGTGAAGCGCTTGATCAAGATCCCCTGCCGCAGAACAAAAATACGGCACAAAGCGCAAGCGCGTTTATCATGGAAATCTGCTGCCCCGCGCCCTTTGGTTCACAAAAAAAGGCTGCACGTGCACGGCTTCTGCCATTAACCTCTGGGGCTCATTCGGTCCCTGGTCCAGGTGCGGGAGGTTATTCGGTTTAGATCAGATCCTGTTGGAATTATCAGACAGCTGCTACACGCGCCAAAATTTCGTTTGTCAAACACAAAGAACCTGCAGGCCTGTCCGCAGATGTCGGCCTTTCAGTTCTCGAGCCGTCCTGCCCAATAAGTATCAACGGTGGTTGTAGGCCACCTAGTACCTGTCCATTTTTGGGGATACAATATCTCATTCCCGGAATACACGATCTAATTTGTGGATACACGCTTTGGCTGTGTCCCAGAAAGGAGTAATTAAACAGTATATCTTAAGTGGCCATGTTGATGAAGAAAAATGAAGAAAATGATGATCAAACAGGACATATTTCAAAGATACCTAATTCTCACAACATCTCACAACCAAGTTTGAAGGGGTGCACTTGGTTGCTAGTTACCGCTCGTTAGGAAGCTACCGAAGCCAACTTTGCCATGGCAAATCTTGGGCATCTTGTCAACTAAGCCGTAACTACCGAAGCTTTACAAAGAACACAACAGTATTTTGTTCTATCAAGTTGGGTATTGTGTTGTATTGTGTTGTATCATTCTGTCAACTAAGCAACAACTAAGCATATTAAATCATATTCCCTGGTCTGTGTTTTTTTTTATGTGTTGTATAATTCAACTACTTCAGCAGAAGTGCCCGCAGACTGTTTTTCTGCAATGGCTATCAGTCAAAAAGTTCAACCCTCTGGTCGCAGAAATTCGGAGGTGGTTCCTCGGACATGTGTGTTGGTTGATGTTTGCACCATCCATTACAGTTATAACATGTTATAACCCCATCCCCCAGTATGAAATACTTCCATTGTATTGTCCCAGATATAGGTAAATCCCGGTAAATCCCCTAAGAACCATGGTTGTGGGAAGGTGTTGTGTTTTATTTTTTTGGGCGAAGCTATCAATATCTATCAATCACACCTAACAGTTGAAGTTATAAACCAACTTAAGATAAGGATCTGGGTTACCATCTGGTTATTTAACAGTTCGCCATGGAAAATCACCATGCTATAAATAGGTAAACCATCTATTTCTATGGGCCATCTATACCAACCATGGCTATGTTAGTCATAACCAGAGGGTATCACCTTGCAAACATGGCAACAGGGCCACTCACCTTCCGGCGTGTTGACCGGGCGACTTTTCATGGTGAGTTCCCCAAAATCCCTCGGAATCATTCCATTGTACTGACTAGTTAAAATCGGAAATCCCACAAAGGATATTTAGATTGCAAGATTAATTACAGGGATTACAGTTGTGTCTCTGGACATACGTGACATTCACGTCCTAACCTATCATTTTCACCTCATATCCAGCTGAAAGGTAGGAACCCAACTGCCAAGCAGGCCTGGTGGCCGGCCTAGTGGGATGATCCCAGGCCGGTAGCCTCTGGTAATGACTGTGACACGAACTGCGAACTTGAACATGGCCCAGTCGAAATAGTTGATTTACCCAGCTGTAAAATGGATTTCCATAGTTATGTTCAGTTTCCAGAGGGTATATTAATTAGCTGGTATAATCTCTAATCATCAGCCACCACGGGTTTCAGAGCGCTCTTGGAAGCACGTTGTTTGGGGCCATTTTTTGATGGTCATCAACATGGCGGGAGCCTCAACGCTGGGATCTAAGCCCTAGAGCTATGTGGTTACCCCCTAGAAGACGAACGTAGATATGGAACATCCACCGTGAAAGTAGATCACTTCAAAGGGAAACCCATCGTCATAGCTATATTAGTTTTCTGGAGGCTATGTACATATATTAATGTTTATCTATTTATTCATAGTTTATATATAATATATTTATTGTTTATTTAGTTATCAACTTATCACCGCAACTGCACTGCCAAACATAAACACTTTATGGTCCAACTTCTGTTGTTTGTCCACTGCTGATCAAACTGTGCAAGGTAAGGTCTATGGAAGTGTCCTTGTTTGAGAAAAAACTCCACAATGAGCCATGAAAAACAACTTTCTTTCAGTGATGCCCACACACAACCTACCTGAAATAAACTCTGACATGTTGGATGGCATTCTGTTGGATGCGTATCCCACTTACAAACGGTTCAATGGCCCATACATAACATCATAAGACTCATATATAGGCTGGGCTGTTACGTATGTAATCGGCTCATCCAATATCATAAATATATATAAATATCATGTATATGATGTTATATTTATAAATGATATATATATATATATCAAATATATATCATATATATATATGTATCAAATATATATATATATATCATATATATCAAATATATATATATATATCATATATCAAATATATATATATATCATATATATCAAATATATATAATATATATCATATATATATCATATATCAAATATATATATGTATCATATGTATATCATATATATATCATATATATATTATATATATTATATATATATCATAATATATATATATATATCATTTATATGCGACTCACCATGTGTAAACAACAACTGGCTTATAATATGTATTGTTATTACACACTGACTAACTGGGATGCACCACCACAAAAAATGCAATCACCAGTCATCACCGTCCAAATTTCCCGGAGATGAAGCTCTGAATATTCTCTTCTTACATCTATCATCCATAACTACAATGTGAGGCCCCCCAGTTATGTTTGCTGGTTAACAAACCAACTTAGCTATCTTGGGGGCCTCACACTGTATGTACTCTCAGAAAATACAGTGATAATCCATCATCTATACTAAATCTACTATCTCAAATAGATGGAAAAGTCATTTACCACTATAGTCACTATATATTTCGTGGGATGTTTCAAACAACCCTGTCTCGATCTATCTTGTTTCAGTGCTCGGGTCCCGTGAATCGCCGAATCCCCGGCCGGCCCTTTCCGCGCACCTCGGCCCGGAGCTCATCGAGCGCAAAGACCTTTGGCCAGATTGTCATGATAAAAAGTTGGTAAAACAATACCATGTTTACCGCCCCCCAGTCATCACCATAAATATATGTGGTATATATATATATATATATGTGCTACACCACCCCCAAGAACGGTGATTCAGATTTGTCATTGTTTGAACAGATGTGGATGAGAATCAGATATACGTATATATATATATAAACCATTCTCGGTCATGCGTGGTAAACATGACATTGTTTTGCCCACTTTATATAGGTGAGTTTCAGATGGTCAATCCAATGCCTCAATTTCTGAGGAATTGACTATTGGGTACATCCTATTTAAGGAGATATATTAAACATTAATAAACAATAATGATGTTATTGGAATATCTTATTTTACTGGAATGGATTATTATTGGAATGGATTATTAATCAAATATCCATGCCCCAAGTGCTTTGATACTGGAATGGATTATTTATCTCCGTTTAAAGCAAACAAACGCGACATATTGGTCAAGATTAAACTACCAAACTTGACTCAGAGGTTGTTTGCTTGTTCTGATTTGTTGAGTCCAAAGGATGCATAAATAGTAACAAATGAGCTAGAAAAGCGCCCCGCTACTGTCCCAGTATACTAGTTACTAGTTGGTTAATACTTATCCCTATTTTGGGTAGTAATAATCCCCAATACCCCAGGTAGTATAACTTACGTAGTATAACCTACTATAATGATAAATCAATAACAAGTCAACGGGGTTATTTTTAACAGATTCTAAATGGCTCAAATGATGTTAAATGTTGGTTGTTAGTGGGACACTAATCATGTGTATGATGGTGGTATATTTTAGATGGTAAAGCCATATAATCTCATCATATAGTCTCATAGAATCCCAGAAAGGCAAAACATCAAAGTGAATAGCTACAAACCATCCAGAGTCTCAGCGACAACGAATGGCAACAACAAGAGAAAATCCACGTCCATGTCATGTTCCGTCTCGAACCAACTGGTTTTTTCCCTCTACAGTTATGGCCCGAAATACCAGTTATAAGTACTAACAAAACCCAGTTTATAGAATGTGTCTCATCCCATGGAAATAATCAGTTTATAGTACGTCCAAAGCCATGGCCATTTCACTGTAGTGCCTTTTTTCGGTTTTTTGGTGTTCAACTCCATCAAGATCATCCCATCCAGATGGCGCAGGACACGCTGCTGTGAAATGGCGAAGTTCATGTGACAATGTGTCTTGTAATCACACAGAAATGATGTGAAATTGTGATGTAAAACACGGCTATTTCTCATATAATCATGATCATAATCAGCAGGACTTCTTCTATTCTTTTCCAGGAAAGAGTATTGTAACCCTCCTTTACTCCTTCATGCTCACTATATCTACACGTTGTTTTCTTTATGATTTTATGTGCAAGAAAAAAACAACCTTAATCGATTCCCTAAATGCTGCATTTCCTCTTGGGAAAATACGCCAAACAACCTTCCGCAAATCCATATCTGGGCAAATTATAATATTTCACTAACCTGAATCTTGCGGCCATTTGGGGATCCCCAGTGAGGTCGCAGTGAGGTCCTTATCATTTACCCATATATATATATACTATACAATCCTACTAATCCCATAGGATATCCCATAAATTATTATATACATATCTAGTCGAAGCCCATGGCAAACATAGCCATGTAACAATGCGAAAAAGTACGGGTCCTGGGACCCATCCCATCCCGGGCGCCCCAGCATTCATCGCCTCAGAGATGATCCCAAAATGCACAGGTGGTACACATTTGTGGTACAGTCAATGCTGGATTGGTGGTATACCCTCTGGTAAACTAACATAACTATGGAAAATCACCAGTTTTAATGGGAGAACTCACTATAAATGGTCATTTTCAATAGCTATGTTAAATTACCAGAGGGTAACTGGGGGATACAAAATGGGGTTTCATAGGATTTCACCTTCAGAATACATGGAATACAACCCCTCTGAACCAAAAAAAATGGGATTATTATTCCCAACTGAATGGAAAAAAACATGTTCCAAACCGCCAGGCGGAATGGCTTTGTCTGAAAATATGCTACCTCTAAATTCAAAATGGTTGAGTCATAATTTTCTCAATTTTTCATGGCCATTTAGAAGGTATACCCCATTTCAGACAGACTCAAATGGTGGTTTAATGATAATTATGGGATTTTAAGGCATTTAATGGTATTTAATGAATTTTGTTTTGATTATATGGAAAGTAGAACCCCAGGTTTTCCCCCCCCGGTGGCTATAATATAATAATATACCTAGGTTGGAGCAACCCACAAGTAAAAGAGCTGTTTTTCCCCTAGTGACCTAGTGGAAGCAATGTGAAACCAGCGAAAACTGAAGGTCTGAGAAGAACACTGAAAGTGGCGCCAACATATTGTGTTTAAGCCACCGTGCGGTTCAACAAGTTAACAAAAGAAACCAGAAACATGAACGTTTTTAAGTGGAAATCACACTTCACCAGTTTTCAGCGAATTTCAAAGCCTATTAGACAACTGGAGGGACTTGGGAGCACAATTCCTCCGGCCATGCAAAACCAACATGGCGAATAAGAGGCATCTCCCGCCCGTCATCTACTTCTCGTGGCTCGGAAAGTGTCAAATCACTGGGTGCCCCAACAATTTCCAGCGTTTTTTCACCATTCATCCACCATTCACCAACCAGTCACCAACCGTTCACCAAGCATTCACAGTCCCAACCCCACAACGGTCACAGTCCGGGCCCAGTGGCCAGACACTTCTCACTGCTCTTGGCATAGATCTGCCGAAGAGCGCGAAGATATCCCTTCACCTCGGAATGATTCCCAGGCGGCCACGATGAGTTTGTGCTGGTCCCATGTACGCGTGGGGGGTTCTTCAAATGGAGATTCCCAAGTCAACATAGGTTTCAAGACTAAAATGGTATAGTGACTGGGATGATTTGGGGCTACCCCTAATTTAGGAAACCTCCACATGTAGTAACCAACTGAAATAAACCGCTTCAATTAATGCGCCATATCCCCCCACCATAGATCGGGGCATATACTTGGATGATCTTGGATGAGCATCCCCGCAAGTGACAGTTACTAGTTACTGTGGGTAGTAACCCTATTATACACCCTATCATACATCCTATCATACATCCCGTGTCCACTTCCTGCTATTTTAGTCTTCCGCTAATTTTGTCGGTTGCTCATACATATATCTGGGTAAATTATCATCATTCACTAACCTGAATTAAGGCCTTTGACCTTAAGAAAGAAGGCATCACCCTGCCCTGGATGATGAACATTGGCCACGGATCCACCTCAACAAGAACAACCACAACGACAAACGCCATTTGGGGATGATTTCCCTTACTAACCATGACTCCAGTGAGGGAGGACAGTGAGGTCGTTATAATTTACACATATATATATATATTATGCAATATATATATATATATATATATATTATGCAATCCCACTCATCCCATAAGATACCCCATAATTTGTTATATACATATCTAGTGGAAGCCTAGACTATAGCAAAAAATCTCAAATGTTCCAAACCACCAACCAGTATATCTATATATATATACACATGTGGAGTATCCCCACATGGGTGATACATGGGTATTGGACATTGACCACTTACGATTCGTGGCCGCACATCGAGATGTGTATCCCAGGTTAAGTCGATGTAGTCACCTTTTTTGTTTCCTTTGTAGGAAAAATAGAGGGGTCGATTTGGTATATACTATTTATCAATATTTATCAATATCTGTACTGATTTTTAAACATTTATTGATATTCATCAATATGAAGTAATATTTATCAATATTCATCAATAGTTATCAAGTGTTAATACGGTTAATAGTAATTAATGTTTACGCTCATCTACCTATTGGTTGTTGTATGAGGGAAACCTCTATTGATCTATTATACCAACCAGTGGGAACAGGACACCTATTGTAGTCACAATCGATAGCTGTAAGGTGAAGAACACAACAACAATATTAGCACGTAAGACATGCGGCGCATATGGATTATCATAATTCATACTGTCCTGACTATCATACAAATAACCATCCCAAGAATTATGCCAATTCCACATGTTTGTTGGTTTGTCTCCAAATTTAAAGGGAAAACGCCTAAATAGCCCATTGGTTAATCATGAGATTATTTTCACTGCCATGTTTGTCGGTATTCCACATTTTCAGACACAAGCATAAGCAGCTAACCCTACGGCCATCTCATTGTTGCCCCCGTTTATGTTGAACACCCCTCAGAAACCATGGCTTCATAGAAGATGAAACTACATTGGGACCAAACAATGGGGGTGCTTGATAAGGGAAATGGTATTACTCGCTTGACATCCCGAGGAACTTCTTATAATCATATGGGTGTTTCTGACAGCTGGCTGCAATCTCCAAATTGCCACTTTAGTACAGGGAAAATGGGGAATATCAAAATGGTTTGTTCTCCCGTAAAATTGCAGACGCACCCAGATATAGCAACTTCCGAGTCCGTTTGGTTTCCCGAAATATAAAGATGCGTCCAAACAAATGATGGAATATGATGGAATCGTCCCCATCAATAACCGTGTGGTGTCAATATGCAGCATGTTTTCTCACATTATATATATATGTGTAGATGTATATATATATATGTATTTCTCCTGGACTAGATATGGAAATGTTCAAAAGGATCCTGGCTAAACTGGAATCTCTTTGAAATTTCCATATTCAAGTTGACTGACTATAATAGAATGTTTCCTTATCTACTTTGAATTTTCCCTATCTACTATCTCTATTACACTTATTTCCATATTCACTTCACAGGGTTGTCCAAATGACCCTCTTGAAAATCAAATGATGAAACCAAATTTTGAGTCCCACAAACAAAATCAAACAAACAAATGATGGCAATCAGCTGGATTTCTTTTTCGCACACAGATCGGACTCCCCCTATTAACTATTGAGTTTTTGTTGGTTCGATCACCAAAGGATGCTTTACAAAGATGAAGGCTTGGCTGGAGCGACAAGTTAACTGGATTTCCTCGAGATGAAACTTTATTTGCTGTAGTATTTTTGTTGAATAAATTATGTTTTATTTGCATCCGATTGATATCAAAGAGAATAGTTTAGCCTGGTTTTCATTTGTTTTGGGCCTTATTGAAATCAAATAAACTATGCGCTCCGGAGTGTGCAATTTATTTTAAAATTATTTTAAACAATAGTCAAAACCATTGAATACCAGGCCACGCTATCAATTCAAATATATTATACCTCATGGAATCCTCATGGAATCCATGAAACTTCCTGTATCTTTCGATTTGTTAAACAACAGTTAAACTAAATCACGCGCTCCACAGCGCGCAATTCATTCAAATAAAGTTCAAAGCCATTTAGTACCAGCCTAAACCATTGTGGACATGAAGCCTACTTTATTCAACAAACATATTAAAATAAATGACGCGCTCCGGAGCGCATAATTCACCATATCAAGTTCAAAGTCATTTAGTACCAGCCTAAACTATTGTCTTGTTGTGCAATTCTTCTTGAAGGCGGAACGGCGCGAACCCCATTGTTGAGTGATTCTTCTAGAACAGGGATTGGCCGAACCCCACTGTTGAGTGATTCTTCTCGAACGGGGATTGACCCGAACCCCATTGTTGAGTGATTCTTCTTGAACGGCGATTGGCCGAACCCTACTATTGAAAGATTCTTCTTGAACGGGGATGGCGGAACCCCATTGTTTACTGGTTCTTCTTGAATGGGGATTGGTGTGAACCCCACTGTTGAGTGATTCTTCTTGAACGGGGATTGGCCGAACCCCACTGTTCAGTGCCGGACCCCGTTGTTGAGTGATTCCTTTTGAACGGGGATTGGCCCGAACCCCACTGTTGAGTGACTCTTCTTGAACGGGGATTGGCCCGAACCCCACTTTTGAGTGATTCTTCTTGAACGGGGATTGGCCGAACCCCACTTTTGAGTGATTCTTCTTGAACGGCGATTGGCCTGAACCCCACTGTTCAGTGATTCTTCTTGAACGGGGATTGGCCGAACCCCATTGTTGAGTGATACTTCTTGAACGGGGATTGGCCCGAACCCCGCTGTTGAGTGATTCTTCTTGAACGGGGATTGGCCCGAACCCCACTGTTGAGTGATTCTTCTTGAACGGGGATTGGCCCGGGGATTGGCCCGAACCCCAGTGATTCTTCTTGAACGGGGATTGGGCCGAACCCCGTTGTTGAGTGATCTTCTTGAACGGGGATTGGCCCGAACCCCACTGTTGAGTGATTCTTCTTGAACGGGGATTGGCCCGAACCCCACTGTTGAGTGATTCTTCTTGAACGGGGATTGGCCCGAACCCCACTGTTGAGTGATTCTTCTTGAACGGGCATCCTAGGCAATGAGTGAAATCTACTCAATTAGGTAGTAGGGAAAAAACCTAACCCCCTTGTTGAGTGATTCGCGTTGAACGGGTCAACAAGGGAGTGAGGAAAAACCTAACTCCCTTGTTGAGTAATTCTTGTTGAATAGGTGACATCAATTGGAACACAAAGGGCCCAACAAGGGAGTGAGATAAAACGTAACTACCCTCTTGAGTGATTCAACTTGAATCACTCAACAAGGGAGTTAGGATTTTCCTAACTCCCTTATTGAGTGGATTTGTGTTTTGCCAAGATTCCACCGCCAATCGAAGCTGATGGCTGATCCAATCCAGCTGCGGAATCATGTGGGGACAATTCTTCCCCGAAATGCAAAACATCACCATCAGCGCCAAACAGGCAATAGAAGGGAGTGGAGATGGAAGAAAATGGCGAGTCCATGTAACCACACTTAATCGTGACATTATAGTGTCTCCATTTCCCACCGACAAAAAATGATAAACAATTTGAAAAAACCATACTTAGACAAGTAGATTACTGCTTTCATAAAAGTGAGCATGTACATGCCCACAGTAATGGTAGCATCAAGCTGCGGAATGAATCTGAACATATCTGAGCCCAAGGGCCCCAACAAAGATGTTGGTATATGGAGTCCGTAGCCTGATGTTAAATGGTTTTGAATGCCATTTAAAGTAAATTACACCTTCAGTATTTGAATGTGTTGAACAAAGTACGTTTCATTTAGTTACATGGGATCAACATGCGAGACAATAGTTTAGGCTTGTAACAAACGGCATTGAACTTTATTTGAACAAATTACGCGCTCCGGAGCGCGTAATGATTACGCGCTCCGGAGCGCGTAATTGACTTTAGTATTTAAATGTATTGAATAAAGTACATGTTTCTTACATTGGGTCCAATAATATAGGCCCTATAGGCTGGTACTAAATGGCTTTGACCTTTATTTGAACAAATTACGCGCTCCGGAGCGCGTAATTATTACGCGCTCCGAAGCGTGTAATTGACTTCAGTATTTACATGCATTGAATAAAGTACATTTTTCTTACATTGGGTCAAAAATGGTCAATATACGAAATAATACTATAGGCTGGTACTAAATGGCTTTGAACAAATTACGCGCTCCGGAGCGCGCAATTATTACGCGCTCCGGAGCGCGTAATTGACTTCAGTAGTTACATGTGTTGAAAAAAGTGCGTTTCATTTAATTACATGGGATCAGCATACGAGACAGTAGCTTAGGCTGGTACTAAATGGCTTTGAACTTTATTTGAATGGATTACGCGCTCCGGAGCGCGTCATTGTTACGCGCTCCGGAGCGCGTCATTATTACGCGCTCCGGAGCGCGTAATTGACTTCAGTATTTACATGTGTTGAAGAAAGTACGTTTCATTTAAATACATGGGATCACCAATACGAGACAATAGTCTAGGCTGGTACTAAATGGCTTTGAACTTTGTTTGCGTGGATTACGCGCTCCGGAGCGCGTAATTATTACGCGCTCCGGAGCGCGTAATTGACTTCAGTATTATTTACATTTGTTGAAGAAAGTGCGTTTCATTTAATTACATGGGATCACCATACGAGACAATATAGTTTAGGCTGCTACTAAATGGCTTTGATCTTGATTTGAATGGATTACGCGCTCCGGAGCGCGTCATTATTACGCGCTCCGGAGCGCGTAATTGACTTCAGTAGTTACATGTGTTGAAAAAAGTGCGTTTCATTTAAATACATGGGATCAGCATACGAGACAATAGCTTAGGCTGGTACTAAATGGCTTTGAACTTTATTTGAATGGATTACGCGCTCCGGAACGCGTCATTGTTACGCGCTCCGGAGCGCGTCATTATTACGCGCTCTGGAGCGCGTAATTGACTTCAATATTTAAATGTGTTGAAAAAAGTGCGTTTCATTGGGTCACTATACAAGACAATAGTTTAGGCTGCTACAGAAAAATTGAGCTACATTCCAACAGTTAAAAGTGATTTTCTGAATGATATCAAATGGAGGTTTTGGACGACCCTGCTCCAGGATGACTATAATGGAGCTTTCCTAAAATAGCGATAACCCCAATGGATGATGACTGGGGGTACCCCCATTTCAGGAAACCTCCATAATCATAATATATATATATATATACAAATATACCATGAGAATCCTTGTCTTGAAATAGGCCAAAAAAAAAGGAATGTATCCAATATTTGGATACATGTCCAATGTTCCCAAAATTTGGATACATTGTCGGAATGGACCATGTTTATCGCAAACAGGGGCCATGTTTGTCGGAAAAAGTGCCTTTGATGGAACGTTTTTTTGGGTACAATTGCTGTCAACAGAAACATAGTTGCAAAATGTGTAGATTAGTGGGGTATTTGAGTCGGGACAAACCGTGACAAACCGTGACCAACCGTGACCAACCGTGACGAACCGTGACCCGTAGACCAAAAAATCTGAAGTGGTGAACAATGTGAGTTGTTGATTGATGAAGAACCCCGAGGTCTGCTGAAAGTACCTTAGGAGTTGTCGGAATAGCCCCAGGGTTTGTCGGAGAATGCCTTTTCTAGAAAAGTCTTGATAGCGCGTCGGTAGCCAAATTTCAGGTATGGAATGCCCCAGAGCTGACATCTAGAAATGTCATCAAATAGATCATACTTTGGATTCACAGGGATAGAATATCCCCACTTTTAGATGGGATTCTATGGGTTATATTCCAACTTATATACCCTCTGGTTAACTAACATAGCTGTGGAAGCCATGGACCATTTAGAAATAGGTGGTTTACCTCTTCAAATACGGATTTCCATAGCTTTTTGTATGTTTACCAGAGGGTATGGACTACAGTTATGGCCCGAAATACCAGTTATAAGATGTTATAAGTACTAACAAAACCCAGTTTATAGAATGGTTCTCATCCCATAAGAATAAACAGTTATAACATGTTATAACTAATAGCCATGGCCAATTCAATGGACTATCACCCAAAATAACGAGTTCTGAGGTGCACATAGAAAAAGCCACCGTTTTTCTTTGGGCATCCCGACGCTGAGACGACTTCCGGCCTTGGCCTTGGGAAATGATGCAGCAGTTGGGAAATAATTGGATTATAATAACTGGTTGGTGGTTTCAACCCCTCTGAAAAATATTAGTCAGTTGGGATGATTATTCCCAATATATGGGAAAATAAAAACTGTTCCAAACCACCAATCAAATAAATAACTTAGATGATCATTCTTGGTAACTTTGAGTATTCAATAATAACTATTGATCAACTATGAATATTCAAATATTGGTGCCCCCACAGTTATAAGTTGGTTTATAAACTATAGGAATAGTATAGATATATCTACCTAATCGACCATAGCGAAATTGGAGTTGTAAACGCACCAACTTAGCGATTCCGAACTGGGGCACCAGTTGGTAGTTGGTTTATTGCGTGATATGCCCATTATCCCAATTATAGATGGAACATATGCAAGGTATAGTATTCCAGTTCATTGGCAAAATTAATAATGAGGTTAACTCCGATTTATGGTCTAGGGGGGAATATAAACCACCTGAGAACTGGAAATTGTCTGGGTGGTGCCACCAGTTGACTTCGTTGGTTTACAAACCCCATTTAGCTAAAGCTATAACCATCATAAACCACAGGTAATCTAGTTACTGCTTACCAACCTAGCTAAGTATGGGGCACCACCTGATACTGAAACCATACAGATGGGAAATTTCTACAGAATTCGATGCTTCAGTATTCATTTATGCTAGATCTAATGTGGAGATTGCCCAAAATGTGAAATAAAAAGTAGGATGATACGTAGCATCATTGTCGGAATTGCAAGTGGAAAGTAGGATTAATTCAGCTGACAATATGCAAACATAATAAGGTGACTTTCTCAAAACAATATGTTTAGCAAACGTGTCTATTGCATCCTTCGATCACAATGGTGCACTGCCAGCCAAAGCTTACCCAGAAACATATTTTCAATAAGGAAAGCATCTACAAACCTAAGAATTCATGTGTTACTGGGCGCTTTTCTGATAAAAGGTAGGCCCCCATTCCAAATTGGTTCATAGCCCCCAATATTATTATTGCCACAAACCCCAAATATTGATAGATATTGGACTTATAAATCAACTTAGCGAATCGTACGTGCATATATGAACATATTATATATATATATATACACATTTATAGCGTATATCTATGGATACATGTCGCCAATTTCAGCCAAGAAAAACTAAGCATTTGGTGGAGCTAACCAACCGAGGTTAAGCAATTTCACCTCATTGAATCCATATATACTCACCACTGAAGGCAGAAAATAGCAACAAACCAACTAAGCGAACTACTTGGTTTACAGTCCATATATAATTTGTTATATAAGCCATATAATCCCATATCAAAGTTGGGATATTCGGTACAATATATATATATATATGTATATATATATATGTGTGTATATATGTATATATATATATGTGTATATATGCGTATATATATATATGGGTATAACCTGAAGTGGAATGCACCCCCAATCGCCCCACGCAGCGTATACTGGGGTCACCGGGCCCTGATCCGCTGAAGTAACTCCTCATCCAGGCCCAATCTTAGCGACCGAGGCAACTTTCGGGTGGGCGAAATATTGGCTTGGTGAAATCGTGAAATCCCCTTTGACATCACCATTTTTAATGGGAAAACTCACTATAAATGGCCATGTTCAATAGCTATGTTAGTTTACCAGAGGGTATAAATGGGATCCCAATAGTGAAATAATAATAAGTTGGACCATCTATCAACTGGTGCAGGATTTCCATAAATGTTGCAGTGCCAGTTCATTTGGGGATTTCCATAGTCATGGGGATACCCCAATAGCTGGATGGTTTATAATGATGGAAAATCCGGAAATAACAAGGATGATTTAGGGGCACCCCTGAAAAGGGAAACCCCCATTTATGTATATTTATGTATCCCTACAGCTCCAGCCACACCTTCTGAGACTGTATTTGGAATTGTTTTTTGGGGTCTGTCTTTTTACACCTTCTCAGCTCAGAGCGTATTTGGAGCACTAGGGATTGATCATGTGTAAGTTGGTTAAACCCCAATCTGGGTATTAGTATGTATTAGTCGTAACCTTGTGAGAATTACAAAGTTTACTTGGTGGTGAACTACCCACCCCGGTTGTACCCTCTGGTAATTTAACATAGCTATTGAACATGGCCCATTTATAGTTGGTTTACCAGAGGGTAAGTGGATTAAGCTGAATATTGGCTATACTTATCCCACTGGATGAACCATGACCATGACTTGTGGTTTCCATAGTCATGGGGGTACCCAAAAAGGGATTGTTTAGACTAGAAAATCTAATGTCTTATGAAAAATGAATGATTTAGGGGTACCCCGATAGGACATCTCCATACCTCGCTGAAATCCACCAAATTCACTAATTTAGGGAATATTAAGTAATTGTTATTATTACTATAGGTAATGACAACAATGATGCAATGGGTATCCAAAGGTTATGTCCCTAACATACCTGGTGTTAATGATGTAATTTGGCTAAATTACAATAATTCACTACTGGCATGAACATAGCTGAAATAAGGCCTCCTGTCTTCTCTTGCGCGGCTCGACCCCAGCCCAATGAACAGAGCCGAACCGTATTCCTATGTCCGTGCCATCATATCACATTCATGTTGAAAGTTCACCTGGTTTTCAAATCAACATTGGTGTTGGTTGTATTCCCATTTTTTGTTGGTGCAATCTCCACTTGATTCCATATCTATGGCTTCATGTCCGTGAAGTTCCCACATTTATGGCAAAAAATCATAGGGTTACCATACTGGCTTAGTTCCTAGCCCCTAAAACTAGGTCTGAGATAACCCTTCCGATAATCTACCAACAAAGGTATTGGGCACTGCCCATTTGCCAAAATTTTTCTGATTGCCTCTAACTATCCTCGGTGAGGCTTGATAGTCAAGTGGGTATATGTTCAAAACCAAACGCTACCCTCTCTTGACAAAATAGCTGATATGGCTCTTCATTCAATAAATCCAAGAAAAAAAACAAACCAATCTTGGAGGGTCATCATACTGCCTACCCAGCCTGGTAAACTAACATAGCTATTTAAAATGGCAAATTATAGTGAGTTTTCCCGTTAACAGCATGGTGATTTTCCATAGTTATGTAAACGTTTACCAGAGGGTACATATCCTCATTTGGTTGATTTATAGGTTCATAATAACTCAGAATAATAGGCCGTTATATAATAACCCATGGTGGATTAATAACCCATTATTATAATCCATAATAATCCCTATTACTGGTTGGTGGTATGATGGATGCCTGATTGGTCTGACCTGAGACCCCAACTCGGGCTGCGAGAAAATCTGAAACAGGCCCTGCGTAAGCTGAAAAACCCAAACTGTGGGATTCAGTAAGCAGAAACAATTGAAAAAACGAGTGTTAAACATGGGTTTTAGATGGGTTGAAAAGTGATTTCTCCACTGGTTTTAGTGATTAAAATGATTAAAATCCGCTGGTGTTTTAATTTGATCAACAAACATGTGGATTTTAATTTGGCAATGATTTATCACAATGTGAGGCCCCCGTTCGATAGCTAAGTTGGTGAACATAACTCCAATAACTATGGTTTATGGTACTTATAACTATAGTTACTGGGGCTTATAACCAACTTATAACTGGGGGGCCTCACATTGCATATAAAACAAATTTAACTCGAGGTTTTGGTTGATGAATCACTCCAGTTGGATGATATTTTTTATTTTTTCAAGGGGAATTCTAAAGTTGCCTGCAGAAGGGTATTTGCAAGGAAACCCAGGGTTTTGAAAACAAGTAGGTTTTAAGCCGAGTTGCCCACGTGCGTCATATGATATATGTACAAAGGGAACTGTATCTGGATGATTTGAACGAAAACCCAAATCTACTTGGTTGGCCAGAAAATACAATTTGTCAGCTGGCGGTGAGTCAAACTCTGAACCCTTTTGCACAAGGTGTGGCCCCTCAAACCACAGCTAAATTTGTTTATAACTGGGTTTAACTATGGTGGATAGTAGGTGTAACTATACTGGTTATGGGGTTTACGAACCAACAAATATAAATAGGGGGCACCACCTTGCATGGTCATGTATCCAATTTTGATGAACTTTTGAAATGTTCCGACCCATCCCTCCCTAAATTGGTTCACAAGTACAGGAAATGCCCCAGGATACTGATGGTTCCCTATGGCATTTCCTTCCAAACAATCCAATGATCATCTACAGTATCCAATCTGGAGGATTTGTGTTTGTTTTAGCGTGTTTTAGATCCATGAAATCCCATAAATTCAGGAGAATCATGGCAAATCCTGCATTATCTCTTGATCAAATCGTATTAAATCACACTGCATCATTTTTTGGTGATAAAATTGATCACATATCAAGTTTGGAGTGGTTTTCCGTCGGAAATTGGCACGGGCTTTAACCATCCGGATATGGGATTGTCTGAAATTAGAATACCCCTAAATCCACGGGTCAATCATTTGTTCCACTAAAAATGACCATATGTGGCATACAATATTTTTAGACTCAAATGTCATATTGTCGGGTAGCTATACTCCATATGATATTCCATGGTATTCCATGTTTTCCCCACTATTGTTGGATCGTTCTTCATATACTCATATACCATGAAATCACCATGTTCTCCAATAGTTTCTTTGATATATTTAATATTGCTATAGCGGCTATCTCGACCATTGTTTCCAGGCTTCCCGTGAATGTTTAGTGTCAAAACATGGTGCATTATGTATATTACATATGATTTATAATCAAAATCTTTCCCAAGTGGCCATGGGAGCCCGCATAATAGGATTCATAAGCACGGGTATATAAAATCCGCCCGCGCCGAAGGCGCCGAGCCGTGGTAGTTTAGCCACGAGTGATACGAATGGTCCGATCTGTCAGTCTGGTACAGCTTGAGGGCCAGCAAGCCCCAAAGTCGGTGTCCGAAACAACCTGGCAGCCACGACACCAACACGACAACTCAACAGATTCTCAAAAAAAACAGGAGGTCAGAGGAAATCATCACACGACGCAGATGACTGCATCTCGCACATCCACCTCCTCTGGTCTCCGTCTTCGGTCTCACAGCCAGCAGGGGTCAACAATTCAATGGTCACCAGCAGCGATGATCGTTGATGTTGGTGATCCATCAGCTCCCACCAACCAAGCCAACGAGATCATCACTTTGCATCTCCAAGATCATGTCCTCAGATTCTTCCGGCAGCTGAGAAGGGGGCCTGAGGTGCCTCAGAGTGAACTCTATGTGTGCCAGCACATCTGTCCGCAAAATGCATCTACATCTTCATGAGAAGAATCCACATCCACACACATCTGGATCACCCCCGGTCACAGTTTGAGGTGGGATTGGGTTGCAGCGTGGGGTACTTGAGATATTCGGGCACTTCTGGAAATGGGCTATACCATGTTATACCCTCAAATAGTTGTACGGGAGATGAATGATGCACATTGATGAACCATAGGATTCAAGATGATTTAAGGCTACTACTTCAGACGAACCCAAACTGGGCAACCTTCACAGACTAAAGCTGAAAGATCTTCAGTGAGCATTTGTCACATTTCTCATGTGTGAGCTAACTATCTGGTCGGCACTTGGCACATTCCCCTGCGGCGGAGGATGGTTATTCAGAATGGCCTGGCATCTGAATTTCAATCATGACGATATGGCACTGGCTCCTCCCATGGCGACAAAGATTTGCTGGTGATTTTTGGTGTCAAGATCCGAGATTTCAGATTAGCCAATGCTGCTCAAGATTAGTTATTGGCCAACCATACAAAACATGGAATGATCAGGGGCCAAGCCTTCATCATAGAAGAGTCTGTCAGCTGGGGCCGCTGGGGAGGGCGGTAGGGCGCATCGCCGTACAGCATCACATCCCGGCGGGGAAGGTCTGGATCCTGTCGTTGCCTTTGACGGTGGTCTTCCCTTTGCATCCTCCCTTCTGAAAAGGATGTGCGACAATCTGTTGGAAATACACAAATATCATGCATTTGGATAGGTTTTTTTCCGTGGAGAGTGCAAACTAGCAGCCATTATTGTCCTATGATGACATGTGCTCAATCTGGGCCCAAGTTGGAGCCAGCTTGGAGCTGGGCCTCCTGTTCGGCCCAACTCAAGGCCAAGATTGACCCCAGTCGGCTTTGGTTGGGCCAACTAGCTTTGGTTGGGTATAGGCCCGCTCCTTTCCTGTCTATCCAATTCTCTGGGTGCGGGCGGTTCTCGTGGCGAAGCGGCTCGAAGAATACATCCCTACTAATGGATTGATGACATCCCACCTTTCATGGGAATGTACCCTCTGGTAAACATACCAAAAGCATCAAAAAACGATGGAAAATCACCAGTTTCAATGACTAAATCAACGAAGTAAATGGCCATGTTCAATAGCCAACTGTTAGTTTACCAAAGGGTAAACTCCAGTTGCTCGGAGCAGCCTGCAGCGGAGAGCCCTCCGAGTCAGGCAAGAGAATGGGAGATTGCCCTGGCGTGGCCGTAGGCCCTAGAAACCTGCGAACAACCAAAAATATGGGGGTACCCTGAAACCAATTTAGTATTGAAACCTATTTAAGATATTTAAGGTTAAAATGGGATCCAACATTTTAAGAAACCACCATATATCGAAAGTATGGGCTTTATAATAAGTTTGGGTATTTAAGTAATGAAACATGGGGGTTAACAACCAGGAAACAAAATTTCAGCAGCAAAAAATGCAAATAATTTGATAAGTATGTGATTGTGGATTTAGCAACCATACAAAAACGATCACATATCGAGTGTGAATCAACCAGCATGTGGTCAATTATTGTTGATTCATGATAGGCTTCTGTTAGTTTATACCCTCTGGTAATTTAACATAGCTATGGAAAATCAACATTTTTAATGGGAAAATCCACTATAAATGGTCATTTTCAATAGCTATGTTAAATTACCAGAGGGTAACTAGAAATAGCTAGGAATAATATGGGTTCACACTTTTCTCCCGTCAGATTGATGGACATAAGTCAACTTATGGGCCGGCGGGCCCAGAATCTCACGGTGGTGTACGGTGTCCCCGTGTCCCCAGCCTTACTCCAAGCTAACCCTGTGGCAATGGTTAGATCATTTATCTAAAAAATGGTGATAAGAAATTCTTTGCCAGATTGAACTGTGGGAATCATGTTGGTCAATAGCCCAATTTGGTTATATCATGTTGACAACCAAATCCCTTTGCCTACGTAACCAGGCTTATGTTGCAGGTGCATCCCCAAAAAATTGAAACCACCGGCTTCAGCAGAGACTTTTCTGGAGCACATCACGTCATCGCGGTGGTTTCTGTCGTGCTACGGCTGTTCTTCAGAGCACGGCTGCTGGTCCTGGCTGGTGGTCCCTGTCGGTGGTCCCCGGCTTCGGCGAAGCCCGGCGTTACATCGAGACCTCGCAGCGGCAAACATCGGATGATAGACGCCGGGACAGGAGTTTTCATAGAGGGACCGTCACCAATATATAATGTCCTGGCTTTGTAAAAATGGGCCGGGGCCGGGAGCTGGTAAGTTTGGTATACCATCTATCATCATGATATCATCATTTACCTATATTGTTAAAGGGGTAAACATTATTATATCATCATTATATCATCATTTACCATATATATATATATATCATCATTTTATCATCATTTATAAACTACTGTTCTATTTTATTGGGAGGTCCGATGACCCTTCAATGAAAACCATGCAACTGTCAAATCACCTTAGGATATCTCGTGAGACCCAATTTGTCATCTTTCGTGCTGGACTTCTGAATGAAACAAAGAGAAATTTCAGGGTCGGGGATGGCTTGGTTGGGGTATGTTAGGGCTCACAGCAGCCAATTTCCAGATCCTCTTAACATTGTCAAGCTTAGATGCCTTGCATTGTAAAATATTCCCCTATTTCATTGCAAAAGTCACCCTCTGGTAATCAAACATGGTTTATCGGAAAATCCCCTGTTTACACATGAGTTGCCCATTGAATCCTCCATTAAAAAAACTGGATTTCCCTGCCATGAGCCATGATGGAGGGGCAGTGCTCAATGACTCAATATTCATCCAGACGGTTGACATCCAGTTGACCCACTCGACCCATCAACTGTTTGCGAAGCTGCGCGTGCGTCTTTCTTCTGCTTCCGCCGTGCAAAGAATAGGATCATCGTAGCACCTGCAACGAGTTTAACTCGCGAGTTGAGCGTGTGACACATCCTGTCAAGTGTGAACATTTTTGTCATCAACGGCAACAGCACTTGGAAGGGATGTGGAAGGAGGTACAAAGAACAAGAAGATATATGAAAATATCGGCAATCCATAGGTCCATAAATCATGATCAACCTGCGTCACTGTCAATCAGTTGATATCCCAGCATTCGGATAGCATCGCTGTCAAGGTGTAAGTTGGATGACCCCCAGTCGCCTGAAACTCAGCCTTGGGATTCTCCCGATTGAGAGATTTGATGGATGGAAAAGGATCCCATGGCTGTTTCAGTTACAAGTACAATAATGATTATAGTAAAAGTTAGTTATAGCAATATTTATAGTAAGGGTTACAGTAATAGTTGCAGTTGTAACAATACTCATAATAATAGTTTAAAACAATGTAACACAATGTGACTCAAGGTGATTTTCACAAATAATCCTGGTTGGTGGTTTCAACCCCGCTGAATAATATTAGTCAATGGGAAGGATTATCCCATATATTATGGAAAAGAAAAAATGTTCCAAACCACCAACCAGAATCTAATTGAAATAACTTGTCATCGCTCGAACAAGCTACCAACCAAAAAAAAAGCACAGGCTGAACGTCAAGTCCCATCACCTGTGAGTCATGTTGAAGCTTAACGCCAAACAATGCCAAACATCTGCCAGAAAACTAGGCTGGAACCAGCAAAAAATGAGGGTTGGACGATTCTACTACTTTTCAACTACAAATCACTTTGATCCATCACTTCTTGGTAAAAAAAACACAATCTTGTTGTTGGTTTAACTCACATGTTTTTGCTGAACTCAGGCATGCATCACATTACAGAAAATCAACATATTTATTTCACATCGATTCCCACTTCATGGATGATCCCGATATAAATGCTACCCACCATCAACTACCCTCTGGTAAACGTTTACATAACTATGGAAAATCACCATTTTGTAGCTGGGCAATCCACTATTTCTATGGCCATGTTCAATAGCAAACTATTGACATAACCATAGAAATTGCGGATTTTCCCATGAAAAACGGTGATTTTCCATGTTTTTTTTGTATGTTTACCAGAGGGTTAACCATCATGCTATGCACATCCCCGGAGTTTTGATGGGAAATGTTCCCCTCCATACCCATGTCTGGTGCAGGGCGCTTGCGCGGGTGCAGTGGATATTCCAAATGCACCTGGCTTGTAATATGCTTGTTTAATGTTATTTATTCCCGGCTTAGTAACCGTGCAACTGCAGCAAATCATCTGTATATTAAAAAAAAGAAAACTGTACATATAATATGTGTATATATATATGTGAACTATATATATATATGTCATGTATAATATATGATTATATGTATATACCTCTATAATTCAGATATCTATAAATATTATCTATGGGGCTACATTCCCCATTCCTCGCCTCGCCTAGCAAGGTGAAAAGTCCCACGGTGATCGTGGCATCGATCCAGAAACGTTGCGGGTAGAGCCGGATTAAGGTACTACTCCTGGGCAGCTTCGCAAGCTGCGACCGGAAAGCCGTTGGGAAACCATAGGAAAATCATAGGTTTCATGGGATTTATAGCTGATTTATGATAGCTAAGTTGGTGGGTTTATAAACCCAACAAGTGTATGGTAGTTATATCTATATATACTTACTATGGTTTATACCCATGGTGAATGATCAATAATGCCTTATCGTTGGGGTTTAAATCAGATATTCATGAGATGTTAATGGGGTGTTAATCTGATTGGTGGTATACCAACCCCTCTGAAGAATATGAGTTCGTCAGTTGGGATGATGACATTCCCAACTGAATGGAAAGTCAAACAAATCATGTTCCAAACCACCAACCAGGTAGATATATCATTATATATCATTATATATCATTATATATCATTATATATCATTCATTATATATCATTATATATCATTATATGTATATCTATATATATATCTATACTTACTATGGTTTATAAACCAACTTTCAACTGTTTTTGGGCACCACCTTGTGGTGGTCTGTGCCACTCAACAGTGACCCTCACAAAGACAAAATGAAACAAGGGGCCGGAACAAATTAGCTCCACCTGTTAGTTTCATTTTAGGTCATTTAGCTGTTCACTTGACCATTGAAAATAGATTGAACAGGTCGGAAAATAGAAAAAAAAACATTTTCCTGTTCAATCTATTGTTGCTTGGGGTGCCTTTTCAACAAAAATCAACCAACCCGTGGGAAAAGGACTTCCATGGTGTGTGAACGCTTCGCGGAAACTCTTTGTTCCCCCGGATATTTTTGCTGCCTGAACATATGTCGGAAAGTGTCAAAGTGCATGTCAGTATATTAACATCATCATTTTCGTCAGAACATCTTTATCACGGTCAGGATCACACATGAAAACTTTCGATAAAAAAAATCTGGATTGAAATGCTTGAATATACCCCATTCATACAATGTGGCCCCCCCGAGTTATAAGTTGGTTTATAAGCCCCAGTAACTATAGTTATAAGTACCATAAATCATAGTTATTGGAGATATGTTCACCAACTTAGCTATCCAACGGGGGCCTCACATTCATAGAAATTCATGTCGTCTATGAAAGAATAGCCAGTGGTTGACACGTTGTGACCATGGGGATTCGACCGATCTGCAGGTGGGTTGCTGAAATCCCCATATCCCATATATTCATACAATGTGGTGCCCCAATTCGGAATCGCTAAGTTGGTGGGTTTATAACTCTAATTTCACGTTTGGACTTATGGTAGATATATCGAACTAGTTAATGGGATTATAAACCAACAAACATCACTGGGGGGGCACCACCTTGCATATATTCATATGCTCAGTATGTTTCCATTGTAGGTCTTGTACTGAAAAACCGTATTTTGGATAGTCAAAAGGTAAAATTTATATTCATTGGTTGGGTTGGCGAGATACTGGGTGGGTTAAATCTGCATGACACCATAGTGAAACCACGAGTCAAGTATTAGTATGTATACGTATTAGTTATAATCTTGTGATAATAAACCATCCCCAATTTCACTATAAATATATGTGGTATAATAAAGGTGTATGCTTTGATTTACTCATTAGCAACTTTACCCTACTGTAACCTCGTTGCAAACCAACGTAGCTAACAGGGACACCACCTTCTGGTCCCGTCAGACCCGAGTTTCACGGGAAAGGTCCATGTCCCGTCGTGGAAGAAGATCCGATGAAACCTGAAGTTTTTAGATCAGCACATGATACTGTAAATGGGATAAATTTGGATAATAGTTATAGGGATATAAAGGGATTTAATGGGATTTTAAAAGTATCTATCATCTAAAAGGATTTAATTGGATTGTAGAAGATGTTAAAGGATTTAACGGGACTTTAGGGATGTATGGGGATTTGATATCATCAAATCTGTTAAAAAAAACACCATGTTTGGCGCTTCACACCAGGAATATCCAGGAATCGTGTTTCTTGGGTACCCCAGGTACGAATATGTTGTTAGCTGCATCGCCATCGTTGGTTGTAGACCCAACTGAATTTGACTTGATGTGCAATCTTCAAAATGCAACTAGCATTGGACATAAACTACTATGTAACATCTATGTACAATCTATGGACATAGTAACGTACTTCTTCTATGTTACATCACCTCGTTGATTGTAGTTTTGTCGTTTGTTGCTCTTCTGCAAAACGTGTATATAATTCATAAATAACATATAAATCCACATTCTTGTTGATGATGTCTTGATGTTGGTGATGACAATCCTCATCACCCGAATAGGCATTAAACATCGCCATAAATCAACCTAATGCATCCTATAAACATTCATCCAATAAATCTTCATGTTGAAACATGTGAGATCATCTGAGATTCTCACAAAATCACCCATAGATCACCCACAAAAAAAAATGTAAGATTACCCATGGATAGTGGTTTATACCCCCATTAACTAGTACCAGTTAGCCCCATGAACTAGTAAAAAAAAAGTGGTTTATAGTCCATAAACCATCTGGGGGATCGCCAATTTTCTCTCCAGGCGGCTTCTTGAAAGCAGTGTTGAAGGCCAGGAGGGCGAAGGCTAAAACGGAGAACATCGTGGCATAGGTCAAAGCGCTTCCCATCACGAGGCCTCGGAGCGCTGCGCTCCGCGCTCGGTGAGCTCTCTCCGAGCTCTGCCCGAGGTGAGAAACTCATTCTGTCAGATTGTCTATATCAAATCACATAAGTCTGTTTAAGTACTTCTGTGACAATGTTCTATTTATGGATAAGTACTGAAACATAGATGTCTGTACTAGTACTGAAATAGACTTCTGTGACTATGTGACTATTGATGTCTATTGATTGGAGATGATTGGAGCAACCCCTCACCGGGATCACCCTGTAGCCGTAGCCTGTGAATTTACGTAGATAACTTCAAGAATTGTTGCTACGTACTTTTCTGCCAAAAACATATATGATAATATATGATAGGATATATATATATGGGGGATAGCTGAGATGGGGCAATATCAGGCAATATCTATGTAGTATATCATGTAAAAATATGTATGGTCCTGTATGGTATCATATTTCTGTGGCTATGGGCCAAAAGCCTGTACTCCTAACATCAAAAAAACAGAAAAATGGAGCTTCATCCTCCTGAAGATTCTTTGGATCCCAGGGGGCGAAAAATAATCAACTGTTGAACAGTGCGCAAATTCCCAGGGTTTTCCAACATGGAAAAAGTATGGATATAAGGTTATACCCCTTCCAAAGGCACATTAACAACGTTACTGTTTGGTGGTTTCAACCCCTCTGAAATATATGAAAGTCAGTTGGAATTACTATTCCCAATCTATGGAACAATAAAAAATGTTCCAAACCACCAACCAGTCAACGTACGTTATATAAGAAAAACTCCTCATCCGGGATTGATATCACATAAATGACTTTCCCTTTACCAGGTGGTGCCCTAAAGTTTGTTCAACTGGTTAACCCCCAAAAGGGATTCCCCAGTTGTCAGCTTACCCTCTGGGACTTTCACAAAGCTATGGAAACCATGGCCCATTATAGATGACCTATGATGATTTATCGTGATTTACCTTTCAAAAATGGTGATGTTCGCTACAAGTTTGTGCCCCCCCACAGTTGTAAGTTGGTTTATAAACCATATAGTTACTATAACCTATAACCATATAGTTGTTTACTAAGTAAGCATAGATATATCTACCATAACCATTGGTTTTCAGATGCGATTCAGCTCACTGGGGCCGTATTTTGGCATATGTTTGCTACGTTAAGCCGTACCAGATCCGAGCATCTGCGGCGAGGCAAATCCGGCATCCCTTCGGTAAAGTGGAGGAAAGCCAGAATCTTCAGCTGCAAAAACAAGAGAAGCCAAAAGCTCCTAAAGACGCCTCGGAAAGTTGGGAAGGTTGGTGGTTGAAACCATAGGAACATCATGGGTTTCATGGGATTTATAGCTGATTTATAGCTGATTTATAGCGGAAGAGAAGGTTGGTGGTTGGTGGTATACAATGATTAAACAATGGTTAATAATGTTTAATTGTGGTCATAATAATGGTGATTCAATAAATGATTAATGATGATCTGAGTTGGCTGGTTGGTGAATAGCCATGGTGAATGATCAATAATGGCTTATCATTGGGATTAAAATCAGATATTCATGAGATGTTAATGGAATGTTAATCTGGTTGGTGGTTGTGCTACCAACCCCTCTGAAAAATGATGGAGTGAAAGTCAATTGCGATCATGACATTCCCAAGATATATGGAAAGTCATAAAATATGTTCCAAACCACCAACCAGTTGGGAAAGTTTTTCGAGATGTCTGGATTTTGATCAGCAAGTCGATTTTTTGCCCGGGAGATCAATGATTTGCCATAGGGATCATACCAAGCTTGGAATCTCGGCGCGTAAGAACTGGATGTGAAGGGGGTCAAATGGGTTGGTATGGGAAAACACATGGAAATAATGGAAAATCATGGAAAATCCGTTTATCTTTGAAGGATTGACCTCATTTTAAACGGAGTTTCCCATATTTTCCCATGACTTGCTCCTACATGAAAGGGTCATTCGTGAACCTGTAGGGATATCAAAACTAGGATGGCCATTGTATCGTGAGACAGTAGGGATAGGTCGGATAGGTATCAAGGTGAGCCTCCACAGTTATGTGATTTGGCTCACAAACCTTGTTTAACTATTACCCTCTGGTGAACCAACATATATACTGGTTGGTGGTTTTCACCATCTTGAAAAATATTAGTCAATGGGAAGGATTATCCCATATATTATGGAAAATCAAAAATGTTTGAAACCACCAACCAACATAAATATGGAGAATCACCATTTATAGCTAGGTAAATCAACGAACGAAATTTTCAATTTCCATAGCTATGTAACAAATTACCAGATGGGTAACTATTCTTATTATAATTGCCATAAACCAAAACGAGTTTTTGGAGTTATGTGCACCATTAAACCCATATTTTCCTATGGTTTCCTATGGTTTCCTGGGGGTACCAACGAGTTTTTGGAGTAACTGGGCAGCATTTTTTTCTACCAAAACGCCGCTCCGTGACCGAGGTACAACGAGCCAGGAACTGCACATCTTTCATATGTTTCAGCTCCTTCACCGAGAACATCTGACAGGCTCCTCGTGGCGGATCATCCCACGGTTTTCCGATAACTGGTTGGTGGTTGTATACCTACCCCATAGGATCCATGGTGCTGGTATATATGCTAACATTTGGGGTATATTGATGGTAAATGTTACCATATATACTATACATGGATCCTATGGGTACCCCTCTGAAAAATGATGGAGTGAAAGTCAGTTGGGATGATTATAAAATGTTCCAAACCACCAACCAGTTTTTAACCACTGACAAAAAGTTTGGATGATCCATGTGTGCACGGCGAATATGGAGATGATATGGGAATCAGATGGGAGAAAGAATTATGATCAACCATTTTGGAGTTTGGAGCAGCATTGTCCAGACCGAAACTGCACCGAAACCGTGTTGTCGTTTTGGTGCCATCTGATGACATGCCCCGTGTGAAAATATCAGTCATTGTGGCCAATCACCAGCCTGATGAGGTGGTTTTCTTCCTTGATGTTATTTTCTATGAGAAGCTACTTGTCGAACACTTGGATATAGTATAATGATGTTGTCTCCTAATTCAGGCATCGTGTGTGGCCACCCCAATTGCACAAGCACCTGGCCATGTGAAAAAATGTCCATCCTGGGTGACCGCCTGCAGCAATTGTCTTGGAGTGGAATCTGACATATTCTTCTGGTTGGTGGTATACCTACCCCTCTGAGAAATATGAGTTCGTCAGTTGGGATGAAAGTCAGTTGGGATGATGAAATTCCTAATATATGGAAAAATAAAATTCATGTTCCAAACCACCAACCAGGTATAGACATATCTACCACCATAGTGAAATTCGACTTATTTGCACGTACCAACTTAACGTGAACAGCTCACTGGGGCACCACCAACTTCTACAACATATCCCATAGGATCCATGGTGCTGGTATATATGCTAACATAAAGGGGATATATTGATGGGATCCATGGCACACCATATATAGCAGCACCATGGATCCGTCATGGGTATGGAACAATCCACTGGAACTGCTCCAGTTTCTCACAATGGGCTGCTCCAGTTCCTGTGGTGGAACTTGTCTCTGGATGCTTCTGCACACACAATTCCTGGGTCCGGCAGATCACCCGAGGCATCTGGGTAGCACCGCAGATGGCAAGTTGTTTTTTGTCGTATTTTCTCCACATGGCCAATAGATGTTATTACATCAACGTGGTTTTGTTATCATATGTATATATACATACCCCAAATGTATCTAGGTTTCCCAACTGTTTAGCAAATATATTTCTACATAGGGGACGCAACCAATCATTGAGGAATGTTCCAAACAAAATAAAGTTATCTACAAAGAAGCAACAACGGGGCCGACTTGAGCAGAAACCACGTGTGTACTGGGTTGGATGGATTCTCCTGGACACCCGGCACACCTTTTCCCCAACTCAGTTTCAATAAATATATTTCATGGCAAAAAAAGGATCCAAAGTTAACCATCATTAACCTACCATTGCTGAATGTTTTTCGCCAGATACTCAGATACTCTCACTTTCTTTCCTTCATGGCACATCTGACATCTTGCACTTGCCAGGATTGAAAAATGGTCCTTAAATGGTTTTGGATCAGGAAGATCATCGCGAACCTACGTACAAGGTGGTGCCAGTGATGTGAATGTTGGTTGATAATCCCATGGCAACTAGTTTGATATATCTACCATAAGTCCAAATGTGAAATTAGAGTTATGTTCACCAACTGAACGCTATCTTGTTACCATCTGGTTGTGACTAACATAGCCATGGAAAATCACCATTTTATAGCTAGGTAAACCATCTATTTCTATGGGCCATCTATACCTTAGCTATCTTGGGGGCACCACATTGTACAACACAAAATACGTGACCCCAAGGCCCGGTGGTGCCCCAACTGAGCTGAACGGCCCAAGTTGGTGCCCCAGTTGTTCGCTGTTCACGCTCAGTTGGTGCGTGCGTTTATAACTCCAATTTCACGTTTGGGTTTATAGTAGATACCCTCTTGTTATTTAACATCGCCATGGAACAATAGATGATTTTCCCATTAAAACCTCCATATATAAGGGATTTTCCATAGCTATGTAAAATAACCAGATGGTATATCATGATTAATATCGAACTGCTTCATGGGGATTGTAAACCAACGTTCACATCACTGGTCTGTCACCACCTTGTGGGATAAGCCATGCGCTTATCAACTTCAGAAATAGATGCAGATGTCAGTAACTTATGGATGATCAAAAAACAACATACACCAAACATCACCAAACCATGTTTTCAGTGATACCCTTTGGTAAACGTTTACAAAAAACGATGGAACATCACGATGCTTTATAGCTGGGTAAATCAACGAACGAAATGACCATTTTTCCATCGGAATCGTTGGGTGAAATCCTTCTGATTTGCAGAAAAAAGGGCCTTCAAAGTCTCCGCCCCAAAAATCGGGAACTTTTCGGTCGTGGTTAGGAGAGAAATGGATAGTAAATGATGTGGTTTTATAGATGTTACCCTCTGGTAAACTAACCTAACTATGGAAAATCACCATGATAATCCACTATTTCTATGGCCATGTTCAATAGCTATATTAGTATACCAAATGTTCATAGGATCTTCCAGTTCATGGATGCCCCAATACATTGGTCATATCATCAAACAGCCCGGCTTTTGAACACCGGTCATGCCCAAACTCATCTGCCATGAGAAGATTCACTTCTTGGATTCGCTGATTCGCCCCCTGCCCCAAATGGTGTATGTTGTTTGAGGAAATGAGACAAATCACCTCAAACAAACGATGACTTGCATCCGAAACGAATCTGCAGGTTTCAACATATATATATATAATATAATATAATCTTATATATATATATATAGTTATAATATACATAGTTAAATATATATATATATATATAATTATATATATATATACAACATACGCATGCCGTGTGCCATGTTTATGTGTGCGGCTGTCTAAACTCCTTGTCTGGCGAATAGACATCAACATAATTTGGAAAGGTCCCATCGCTAACCACAGTTTCGTAGCAATTTTACCATCATTGGGCAATATTGATTGACAAGGGGTATCGCTAAGGCTAAACACTGCTCAAGTAGATGTGACATTGTATTTGTAGTACTATTCATACTTGTATGTACTACTACTAGTAACCGTACCGAGATTTTAGGAGTACTAGAAGTGCTAGCAGCGCTAATACTAGCCAAAGTAGTACTACGAAATTCGAAGTATTACAAATATTAGCAAGGATAGTAACACAATCCTGGCGATCGTAGCAGGAATTCTAGTAGTAGTAGTAGTAGTAGTAGAAGTAGTAGTAGTAGTAGTAGCAGGAGTAGTAGTAGTAGTAGTAGTAGCAGTAGTAGTGGTAGTAGTAGTAGTAGCAGTAGTAGTAGTAGTAGAAGCAGAAGTAGTAGTAGTAGTAGTAGTAGTAGGTAGTAGTAGTGGTAGTAGTAGTAGTAGGTAGTAGTAGTACTAGTAGGTAGTAGTAGTAGTAGTAGTAGTCGTAGTCGTAGTAGTAGTAGTAGTAGTAGTAGTAGTAGTAGTAGTAGTAGTGGTAGTCGTAGTAGTAGTAGCAGTAGTAGTGGTAGTAGTAGTAGAAGCAGAAGTAGTAGTAGTAGTAGTAGCAGCAGCAGTAGTAGTAGGTAGTAGTAGTAGTAGTAGTAGTAGAAGTAGTAGTAGTAGAAGAAGTAGTAGTAGTAGTAGCAGAAGTAGTAGTAGTAGTAGAAGAAGTAGTAGTAGTAGAAGTAGTAGTAGTAGAAGAAGTAGTAGTAGTAGAAGAAGTAGTAGTAGTAGTAGAAGTAGTAGTAGTAGTAGAAGAAGTAGTAGTAGTAGTAGTAGTCGTAGTAGTTGTAGTAGTAGTAGTCGTCGTAGAAGTAGCAGTAGCAGTAGTCGTAGTAGAAGTACAATTGGTGACGTAGAAGTAGAAGTACAGGTACAAGTAGTTAGGGATCCTGTGCAATTGGGAGAACTTGGGTATCGCTAGGGTATCGCTAAGGCATCGCTATGGTATCGCTAAAACCGACCCGGTTTTTTTTTGCAGAATCTGTTCTTTTCCTTTTGCTTCCCCTTTTTCTGTCCTTTTCCTTTCGTGTCCTTTTTTAGTTTTCCCTTTCCTTGTCCTTTCTTTTCTCTTTCCTTTTCCGTTTCTTTCTCTTTCCTTTGCCTTTCTCTTTACTTTTCCTTTCCTTTCTGTTTCCTCTTCCTTTTCCTTTCCTGTTTCTTTTTCTCTTCCTGCCTTTTTCCTTTTCTTTTTCTTTTCTTTTCCTTTCCCTGTCCTTTTCTTTCAACCCTGAGCCCAAGTATATCACCGATGCGAGCACTTGACGAAATCAACACTCATGAAGTTCAACATGGGGTATCGCTATTTGGAAAGGTCCCATCGCTAAGCTCAGTTTTTTGCATTTTATGAAAACCAATGTCCAACGAATACATATCTTAGTATTCGGGAGTTTTGACGATTGCTCATGTGAGTTACTCCCACTGACATAAAATGATGCGTTCCTTTTTTCGGCTTTTTGGAGATCCGAGACTCCGCCGGAAGCGTGAGAGATTCCAGGTATTGGATGTCCTCGTTGTTCGTCATATACCTGATGCCTCCGGCTGCAGAAGTTGAGAACCATGGGTCCACCTCAAAAGTCTTTGCAGTTATGGCCATTGATTAGTTATACCCTCTGGACACGCGGGATGCTCATCCAATGGATTTGATGCTCATCATCCATCTTGAAAATTCATGATACCCTCCGGTAAACTCACATAACTGTGGAAAATCACCATGTTTAATGGGTAAATCCACTATAAATCACCATTTTCAATAGAAATGTTAAATATGAAAGGGTAACTGGCTAATTATAAATATTCACAATGGGATGAGAAACATTCTATAAATAGGGTTTTCTTAGTACTTATGGTATTTCGGGCCATAACTGTGGGGACTAAAGCAGTTAGGTACTGCCCCCATTGGTCAACGCCGCTGCGAGCTGCAGTAGACACCGAAGTCCATCCTATCCTTGGCTTCGAAACCATAGGGATCTGCTGGAAAGCCGTGGCGGTAGTACTCCATGTACCTGGGTGACCACATCCAGAAAGGCACCCCCACAAGGTGGTGCCCGCTCCAGTGATGTTTGTTGGTTTATAATCCCATGGCAACTAGTTCGATATATCTACCATAAGTCCTAGTGAAATTAGAGTTATGTTCACCAACTTAGCTATCTTGGGGGCACCACATTGCAGGTTGCCATGTGCATGTTGAGCCAGTTATAACTGGCGTAACTGAACAACACTTCATTTAAGTGATATTGTTCACCAACCAGTTGCAGGAGTTTGAACCCGTTTAAAAAAAGCTAGGGGCCATAGCTGCAATGTGATGTTGGCTGGTGTTCTGTGTACACTCCGGTGACTATAGATATATCTCGCATAAACCCAACAGTTAATATTAAGGGATTAATCCAGTTTACTGCTAGGGTGGTACGATTTCTGATAGTAAACTATATAACATATATATATATATATATACACACTAATTTATCATTATTTTAATTTTGGGCGTAACTCGCCCAATAGTCAGGGTTTGCTGATACGAGATGGGCATAAATCCACTTCTGTGTCAACTTCGCAAACGCGATGGGACACCCTGAACGTTCACAGGCATCATATCCTTTTATATTTCTATATGTTTCCATAGTTTCATGCTTAAATATGCTTACTGTAAATCATGTATCATGTTAAATCGCCATTTGATTGACTATATCCGTTCTATCCCGACAATGATTCCCAGTTTTCCACAGTGACATTATGGTTTAATCACCCATAACAATCTCCATCATTATTTCCAGTTGACCCAGTTTACGACGTAACCCCATTTGTTTCTCACTAGATGTCCCGATACATTTTTGGTTCCACAGTTGTCATATTTGAGAAACCACAAAAAATGTATATAAGTTATTTGATTGGATTTAGAAGCCCTGTGGGTTTGGTACCACAAGTACAGTAAGAATGTACCACAATTTAATATATAAATATATCTAAATATAGATATAATTTGAAAAAAAACATTTTAAAAAAAATAAAACACATATGTAAAAAAATATTTTGAACAAATATGATATATATATATATAAATAAATAAAAATAGATAATTCTTTAACGGATTATATATTTCAGAAAATAATTAAAGAAAAACATGGGAAAAACGTAAAACAATCCATTGATGGAAACATTGCTTTTCTTGCGAAGAACCCAGAGCTTTCTCACAACACAGGCAAAAAATGCAAACAACTGCCCGATACACTATGTATAGTTTCCGCCGGAAAAAACAACAACTACGTAAAAATCTATCAAAATTTGTGCATTGGGCAAAGTAAAGTAACACGGCCTTATGAAGCCAAACCCACAAGCCATCAAGATGTAAGTATATACTTACATGGCATTTCAAAATATAAAGAGAAGTAAAAAAAAGTCTAAGGTTAAAACCGTGCCAGTGACGCAAGAAAAAAGGAAACCATGCATCTCCTCATGCTTTTGGAAGCCCATGGAGAGAGCACGCTCCTCCCACTCAGATCGCTCCAGTACCTCGTTGAGTTCCAGGGTCTTCAAGAAGGCATGCTCGCACTTCTTGCGGTCAGCGAGAACTTCGGGCTCCACTATCTTGAGCCAGTCCAGAGGAGTCAAAGTGGTGGATTCTACGACTTCGCCACGACGAACTGCACCGGGGTGAAAACTCTGCAGGTCAACGATGTTCCGGCATACCCACAGGTATTCGGAGAGGACCTGGGCCGATTCACCTGTGAGCCATATCAGCAAAAGGACCATGATTGTGGAGCTCCGGTGAGCTCCGTTTCGGCACGAGATCAAAATGCCTTTGCCCTGCATGAGGAGTTCCAGGATCTTCTTGAACCTGGCCAAGAGCGCCTTCAAAGACACGGTGCCATTGATGAGGCCGGTCCCATCGAATGTCCCCAGGTCTGCGATCAGTGGATCCCGAGCAGGAGGTGGCTTTGCTGCGCCCGCTAAGATAGCTGACACGCCATTGTTCACCAAGACCTTGGCCTGGCCAGAGGCCCCGATACCTCCAAGCCACAGAGAACCTCCATTGGTGCAAGAGAAGACGATGTGCATGGGGTGCCTGTCTTGCAAGCCAGGGGAGGAAAAAAAAGCAGCCAAACATGGGACAAAACGGAAGCCCGTCTTAAGGAAAAAATCTTGAGGAAAAATGATCGAAGAGTACGAAGCCAAGTTGCTTTCTGTTGTAGGCATCGCGAGCCATTTTAAAATGGCTCACTTGCCCATAGCAGTCTGCCACCATGATTCGCTCAAGGGATGCCACGGCTCGCTTTTCATCCCCCTCCTCTATTTGCCCGGTCGGAGACCACACCAGCTTCTCAAAGATAGCTTGGCGAGAATCCATGGCGACGAATTTGGATAAAGCAGGCATATTGGCTTCCAAGTTTGCGACAGGTGAAACACACTAAAGAACAAAAATAGTTCGAAGCAAGTGTCTTGGACCGAAACAAGCAGTGAAGCGTCCACCGAACAGGGCGGATACTGATGTGCACAGCTTGGTCACACATGATACATTGATCGAGTATTCGACCCACGTATCTTTGATAGATTTATTGACATTATACTGCAGATTCTGCCACACGACAACCAATAACCAAAGCAGCAGCCCTCTTCCACAACGGCACGCCCCTTCCCTTCCCGAGATGCCGCGGTCCTGTCCAAGGGCCATTGAAGAAAGCCAAAAATCTCGACGCCGCAGCCTCACGGGTCGCAGCAACCGGGTTGGGGGCCCGGTGTGACACCGCACCTTCTTCGAAGCTGCAGCACAATTCAACTAGATTCATAGCATGTTTCTCTGCTTCCTTCCACTCGTCCACAACTGCTGCAGGAGTGGCATCCAAAACGATTAGTTCCTCAGAAATGAATCGAAAAACGTGCTCCTTCATGGCCTTCAAAAGGCTGGACTTGCTCAGTGTTTTTGCCACTGAAAAATTTCCGCCCAAAACTCCACTCAACTTGCTCAGCTGCTCAATCACATTGCCTGTGCGATGCTGAACGCACAGCACTGGCAAAAAAATGTGGTCGTGCGGCAATGACTGGTCCAGAAACCGTAGCAAACGCACATTGGCAGCGTGAGCGTCGCAAGTGGTCAGAGTGCACTGAAACCTGGCAGAACAGAGTGCGTGGAAACCACCCGGCCCGCTCGAAAGAGCATTCCACATTGAAGAAGCATTCATATTGGGGAACAATGCCTGCGGAGGTCGGAAAATGTGTTCCTCCGCCACACCGTCTGCAGAACGATATGTCCAATACCCGTGCGAACAAAGCACAGAAGTGCTAGTGGCTGCCTCATGCTGCAGGCTCAAATCAAAGGTGGACTCATCAAACATCAAACTGCGAATCCAAAAATCAATTGCCCCTTCAGACCCAGCTTGCTGAACACGAGCTAGCCCATCATTCTGCCCCTCCAAAATCGCGGAAGCAGTTACAAAACGGCATCTGCCGGCATGCTTCTGCCCTCCGCCCTCTATGCTGTCAGCTATCTGCCTAGCTGTGGCTGACTCAGAGCTGAAACCGGCCCGCAAGACTGCTGGGGCTGTCCATTTCTTCCAAGCGCCCTTGCCCTTGGGCGTTTTTCTGTTGAGTTTCTGCGATTGAGATGGGAACGCATGGTCTACCCCTCGCGAGCGACCACTGGCATTGTAAGCCGCTGCCTGTCGGTCCACTAGGATTTGTTTTTTCTTCAACCTCTGTTGTCGGCTACGCTTCTGTTTGGTGTACCTCAACAAGCCCGGTCGGAGACCAGTCCCAAATGCTGGACGTCTTCTGACAGCCGCTGCTTCTTCTTGACTTTCATGATTCTCATGAGCATCTTCGATGAGGCTCAAAACATCATCCAAGCTCAAAGCTGCCATTACACATGGACAAAGGGGATTCTATGCACACACGCGCATACATCAAAAGACTAGAGCCACTTCGCGACTGCAATGTAAGCAACCCACATCAAAAATCAGTCTGGTCCAAACATGACATGGTGCTACAAAGAATATCTCAATCCCAACAACTTTCTAACAAATCAACCACTTTCAACTTGTCAGTCTTCTGTACCCTTCTCTCAGCAATGGTTAAACAATATCAAGATACACATACAACTTCTGCAAATATCGGGAAATCAGAAGTAAAACCAACATATCATCATCCACATTTACAAGTATAAACCTCCATTAGTTCTTCATACATGATTGAAACTACAAATTCTTCGCACATGAGTGGAAGTTAACGTTTAAACCTTGTTAGGTCAAAACATGCCCATTGTTTTTTGGTAAAAAAAAATCTATAATATATTGTTTAATATTTTCCCCAAAAACAATGTTTTTTTTTGAGTTTTTGTTCTTTTTGTTTTTTTTAATTTGTTTTTTCCTTTTTCCAGTTTTCATGGCTGATCCTGTGAAGGCTCCCACAGGCCTTCTTAGATCCAACCAATAAGTTATATAAGCACCAAAAAGCATTAAACCCTACTAAAACCCATGTCAACGCATTAAAATCCACTAAAACTCATGTCAACCATTAAGATCGACTAAAACCCATGAAAAACCCATTCAAACCCACAATTCCACAGATCCAGGTGGCAGGAACCATTCGCAGGTCACCAACCTCGCCGAGCCCACAATCAGCACATAGGGCGTCAGCGCCGCCAGCAGCAGTCGCAGCAGCCGAAAGAGGCACGGGCCGACCAAGCGGCCACGAAGAGCAAGGAAGCCCTGGACAGCTCGGCTCCATGACGAAGCGGGGCCTGGAAAGAAAAAAGCAACGGAACTGCGTTTTGGGTGCTGATGTAGATAGAATGATAAGCTTGGTATAGCGTGGTTAGGTTATTTAATGTTTTGTACATCTTTGTTTTTCCGGCAGGCATTGCCAATCTTAGATACCCATAGATACCTCCCTTTTTTCAAGTCATAGCTGGTGAACGTACATAATCCCATTGATACAAAAAAAACTAGTTAGGATTAGTTTCTACCCATCCAGTTGATTGACCTACATTTTCACACCATTATACCCTCTGGTAAACATACAAAAAACTATGGACAATCACAATTTTTAATTGGTAAATCAACGAACTAATGTTTTTTTTTCCGGCAGGATGGTATAGATATATCACTGTTATATATCTCATGAAAAAAAACATTACTGTATATATCGTCATATTGTGTAATATTGTGTACCAATGTGTACCATATTTTTAGACCATGTTCTGAATATTCTGTAATATTGATAGTCATATTGATAGTCATATTGGCTCACTGTTCCATTTTTTCTATGGTTAATATATATATAGATATTACATATTATATACATATATATATATCTGGTTGGTGGTTTCAACCCCTCTGAAAAATATGAAAGTCAGTTGGGATCATATTATTCCCGACTCAATGGAACAATAAAATTCATGTTCCAAACCACCAACCAGGAGTTATAATGCCACTTAATGTTGGATAATATTGTGTTGTTTTAATTGGATAACCTTGGGAGATTTTGATATATATATATATGTTATATATATATTAATTAATATTGGTGATAACCAGATATCATATACAACTTATATAGGTTATATATATATATATAAATCCCTATAAAATTCCATGAAATCCCTATTTGTTGCTGGTGAATCACCAGCCTGGACCCTTCGGCTCAGGACAGCCATCTTCGATGTCCATCGACGCACATCACGGCGCGAGTTCGGCGAGTTCGGCGAGTGGCGAGTTCGTTCGTTTTTTCTATGGCGAAGTGGTGATTTCAATGGGGATGAATGAGGTGTAACATGTTATAACTGACTTATAGCTGGTATTTCGGGCCATAACGGGCCAGGGAGAGGTGAGGTTTACGGTTTTCTTGTGATTTTAATGAGATTTATATGTTTTTAGGTTGAAATCTCAAGAGTTTGCAAGTGAAGGGGAAAAAAAACGATCCAAAGCTTGAATCTTGCATAATTTTACCAAAATCAGAGAAATCCTGAGAATATTGCAGAGAGAAGATTGCACATACATGGCAGTGCATTTTGTATGAACAATTGTCACGTGAGGCTTTGGCAGCTTCTGACACAACCACCTCACAGGAAACTGCAAAAACTTCACCAGTGGCGATGAAAACGGACCTTCTTCAGGTGACCCGATCTTCCAAAAAAACTTCATCTGAACTCTTGGCAGTACCGAAAAAAAAGATCGAGTTCATCAATGGATTGGTTTAAGGGAAAATCTTAACCGGAAACCATGGTTTTTACCATCAAATATATATATATAGTATATAGGAGTGTCCTGTAAATTTTCCCGTCATCCAATTCTGTGATACCAATCGCAAATGGTGTTTTTTACATGTTATAACCCTGGTGATGGGATTCGTCGCCGTTTTTGGTGGATTCTCTCATGATATATCCAATTTAGAAATGGATGTTTCCTAAGTCATGGGGAGTACCCTCAATCAAATCATTCAATTCAGTAGGATTTTCAGTTATAAAATGTTATAAACCATTTTGGATACCCTCTGGTAAACGCTTACATAACTATGGAAAATCACCATGTTTAATGGGAAAATCCACTATTTCTATGGCCATGGCTTCAATAGCAAACTGTTTGTTTGCCACATTAGTCATCCATTAATCATCCAAATTAACTATAAATGGCCATTTCCAATAGCAAACCTCCATGTATGGAACCCCCCTGGGGAAATTAAGCCCAGTTACGTTCACCCCAGTTACGCCCAACCACGTGATCCACCTGATCCTTTTTGAAATCCTGCTACAAAAACCCACGAATTTTACTCTACAAGGTGGTGCCTCCACAGTTATGTAACTGTTGGTTTATAAACCATGGAGAACCATGGTAACTGTTAACTAGTTCGATATATCTACCTAATCAACCATAGTGAAATTGGACTTATTTGCACGCACGCACCAACTTAGCTATCATAAATCAGCTATAAATCCCATTAAACCCATATTTTTTCTATGGTTTCGGAACGGCTTTCCTTCGCGTTCACGAAAACCTCAAACGGCCCACCTCGAAGTTTGGGTCGTTTCTCCAACTCGCGCACACCTCGCGCCTGGGCGAGGGTTGGTGCAGGAAAGTTATGGCACAAAAACACCACTCAGGAGATGGTGATTAAGGCGATGGTTACTGGTTGGTGGTGCAATAACCATCTTGAAACATGATGGAGTTCGTCAATGGGTTTCGGATGACATCCCATATATGAAATGGAAAATCAAAAATGATCCAAACCACCAACCAGGTGAAATCAACCCCATGACACGAGATTTTACTGGGAATTCACTGGTTTTCATGGAAATAGTTCAACCATCGAAGCATAGGATAGTCATTGTGGTTGAATGGGCGGTCCGCCTCCGGTGTCCTCGCCATGTTTGATTCGCGGTTGGTCGGCTGGATCAATTGTGTTGGTCAATTTTGGTGATCCAGTCTGGATGGTGATTGATAGCCGCCGATACACTAGCCCTTTCTAGCCCCCATGAACCAACTGATTCTTAGGGATTTCCCCTGTTTTTTCGATGCCTAAGGAACCGCTGCGGCACCACCATGCAACATCCAAGCATCAAACAATCACCAGGTATGCGTCCGGCTTCCCCCAATCTTTTTTTGGTGCGTCAGGGGTGAGTGATTCACCAGGGCATCCCCATGGGAAAACCCCGGAAAACCAATGGCTGGTTTAAGATACCTTCTTGCGTAAGTTAACACCCCTAGTTATGGCTGGTTTATTTCCCTCTATGGGTGACTAAAACATCGTAAATTTTCCAAAAATGGTTGGTTTGATACCTCCATTGTTGCTCTTTAAGACTCCTATTTACTGATGTAATCTCCACAAGTGTCTCTACAATTCTCTACAGGCTCTTGGTCGATCTTCGGCATTTTTTGAGCTCGATTCCCTGATATCTCCTCCGACTTGGTGAGCGAGATGCGAAACTTCCATGGTACCCATTTCCATGTTTTTTTGGTAAGTTGGTCATGGACCAAACTCACCAACCGAGTAGAAGGAAAAAGGTCCGCATGAATCAGTTCCGATGGGTAGTTTGAGATGAACTAACTTTTGTTTCATAGCCTGCAATATCGCATTCTCCAGTTTGGGAGGAAATGCCTCAGCCCAGGAACCCGCAGTTGTATTCGCACTCACTGCCGGAGTTGGTGACGCCGAAGAACTTGTTCCCTCCGCAGCGATTGAAACGCCGTGCGCAAGCAGGCCTTCTGAAACGTTGACAAGGTGTGAGAGGATGACCATTCTTGTGGAACATCTTCAAATCCTTGTGACTCACCCGCTGCCATGCGAAAGGTTTGAGAAGTCCAACCCTCCATCATCAGGGCGTTAAGGTGGATGTCGTCGCGGATCATACCCTCTGGTAAACATACAACAAGCTAGTGAAGCCATGACCATCGAAATAGTGGATTTTCCCATTAATAGCATGGTGATTGTCCATAGTTTTATAGTTGATTTTCCCATTAAAAAAATGGTGATTTTCCATCGTTTTTTGTACGTTTACCAGAGGGCCTTGCCGAGTCCATCCTGCGGCTCCGATGTGCCCAGCACTACTACCCTCTGGTAAACGTTAACATAACTATGGAACATCACCATGTTTAATGGGAAAATCCACTATTTCTATCTATTTCTATGGCCATGGCTTCAATAGCAAACTGTTTGTTTGCCACATTAATCATCCATTAATCATCCATGAATCATCCACTCATCACCATTTTTTATGGGTAAATCAACTATAAATGAGTTATGTTCAATAGCTATGTAACAGATTACCAGAGGGTAGTTATAGCATTCTTTTTCGGTTGGTTTAATCCTCATGACTCCCCATAGTTCGCTTCTACATTGTTTAGTGAATAATCAACACAACTTGGTGATAAACTATTCTAATCAACACAACTTGGTGATAAACTATTCGAATCGCCTTTTATGATAACCACCAGTGAATTTGAATCACCGATTTAATACAATTTAACTAATCCAAATTATAGGCTAATTCAATCATAATGGGATTCCGAATTACTCAAATTATTGTTTGTAGTCTCAGATATAATCCCATATAATTTCAGGTCCGTTATATCCCATTATTATCCCATCATTATTCCACCATAATACCTAATCACATACACTCTTATCCCTATTACACCATATTAAACCATATTAGTGTGGTTAAACCACTCACAAACCATCCCAATTTTTACCATAAATAAATGACTCTAAACATAAATAAACCATCAAACATGGGCTGATTTATTTTTGTTTAAACCATATTAAACCATTATGAAATCATTTAAAGGGACATCATCTATAAATGGGCCATGTTCAATAGCAAACTGGTAGTTTACTGAAGGGTATACCCTCTGGTTATTTAACAGTTCGCCATGGAAGCCATGGCCCATAGAAATAGATGGTTTACCTAGCTATAAAATGGTGATTGTCCATGGCTATGTTAGTCATAACCAGATGGTATATCCCATTGGTATGGGTAAACATACCCTCTGGTTATTTAACATGGCTATGGAAACTGGCCCACATATGGATGGTTTATGGTGATTTACCTATCAAAAATGATAGTTAGTGTATTTGTAGGTGATATCTCGATAAATGGGTTATAATCCCACTAACTAGTTAGTTTACTAGGTATATATCCCATTGATATATCCCACATATCCCATTCTTATCTCCCACATTTATCAGAAACGGTGCGCCTCGTCCAACTCCACCGCCACCAGCTCCGGCTTCAAGGCCTTCACGGTACGCTGCACTGCCTTCGGCACCGGGTTTGTCACGGCGACCTCGGCGATCCATGGGAAATCCATGGGGAAATCCATGGGATAAGCATGGGATTTATATGGAAAACCAGCATTTTTTATAGGCAAATCATCTATAAACAGTCAATTATTAATAGGTAAATCAATGTAAATCATCATTTATCCCAGAAATATGATGAAATCCATGAATTTCATGAAGATTTCACCATGAATTATGGGGAAACTATGGGGAAATTATCTAAGAAATACGGGAAACGTGTGGACAAAAACGGTGATCTGGCCATGAAAAATGATGATGTCATCATGATTTATCAACAAGAAATGTGGAAGACATGGTGACGAACACATCAAAACATTATGATGCACGATATATTCAACGCATGTGGGAAAAGTATGGAAAAGTTGTGATTTTAGCTCTGAAACAATTGGAATTCAACAGCAACAAAGTGATGAAAACAATTGAAATCGATCAACACATATCAACACACATGTGGGAAACTTTACCCAGCTTACACCTGAGACTGGAGAATCCACATTACATAATCATCGATACAAATGGCCAGCAAAACCAATGTACCTGGCTCCATTTTCAACCCAAACCAGGATGCATTGTTCAATCTGTCGCTAGGTATTCGGCAATCATCCCATGTTCTTCCCAAACAAGCATCCAAATAGGTTTGTCTAAGAATAGGGTATAATACATATATATATATACATATTATTATATATATATAGTATATATCTATATAATTACAGTAAAATATATATTATAACAATATATATATATAATGATTAATAATTAATAAAAAATAATAATATATATTACAATATAATATCATATATATATATAATATTATATATATAATATTATATTGTAATATACATATATATATGATATTATATTGTAACATATATATATATATTATATATAATATTATATTGTAATATATATATATATATATATTATAAAACTATATATATAATAATAATAATAATTATTATTATTATATATGTATATATATATATTAAAATATATACATATATATATAATAATAAATATATATATATATATGAAAATCCTATCTTTATCAGCATGTTCTGCATGAAAATTGCAAATCAATCATGGGGCATCCAATTTTTGATCACACCAAATATCATACTGGTTATGGATACCACAAAAAAAGTCCAGAAAATCTTCACCGGAAACCAGTTATTTTCCTAAGATCATGGGGCTTTCCGATGAACATTTTCCCATCTTCTCGGTACAAATCCACTACTTAGATGGGCCATGGAGTTGGTCAACTAGTTAGTAAACGGATTATAATTTTGATATAGGGGGTTACAGTATATCCCCAGTTACTCACTAGGAATCGCTAATCTTTCCCATGGCCCATGGCCCAGTACAAATCCACCCAAAATCACCGGCAAGCGCACGGTGCGCCAAGAGGCAGCCCCTGGCAAAGAGTGCGGAGTTCCCACCAAGATGATCTGCAGCGAAAGGAAGTGGTCACGTGGTCTGGCGTGTCATATTTCTACAATGTGGCCCCCCGAGTTATAAGTTGGTTTATAAGCCCCAGTAACTATAGTTATAAGTACCATAAACCATAGATATTGGAGTTATAAACCAACTTGGGTATCTTGGGGGCCTCACATTGTATAACAGTGGTTTTAAACTAGTGGTATAAACCATATATGGTCTATAGTGGGTTTAAACGCATATATGGTGGTATACCCATTGTCACTATAGTATGTCTACATAAACTTTATGGTAGATATATCTATACTTACTATGGTTTATGCCCATAATGAATGATCAATAATGGCTTATCATTGGGATTAAAATCAGATATTCATGAGATGTTAATGGAATGTTAATCTGGTTGGTGGTTGATCTACCATCTGAAATGGCTATATTACCATAGTATGGCCATTATAACTAGTTGGTGGTTGACCTACCATCTTGAAAAATGATGGACTTCGTCAGTTGGGATGATGACATTCCCAACTGAATTCGGAAAGTCATAAAATTCCATGGTTCCAAACCACCAACCAGATAATCAATGGCCACTTCAGGAACCGATGTATTGGAGGTACCTACCATATATAAGGCCTATTTTTTAGGCCTATGTAAGGGAATCTCTCGTCAAAATATGGACTTATATGGTGCAGTACCTCCATTGTAGGATCCTGAATTTCCCATTTCTATAAGGTGGTGCCCCCCAGTTACAACTTGGTTTACAACCACTACTAACTATAAAATACTATATATCTGCCATAAGCCCAAGTTTTTGGAGTTATAGACCAACTTAGCTAACGAACTGGGGCACCGCCTTGTATATAATCTATACCCAGACCCTGCAAATACCACCAAAATGGGTAAATTACAAAAATGGTGGGGTAAAACACAATGTTTATCGGTACTTCATAACAACAGATTTATCAGCACCAAACTATATATCCAGTTGGTCCCCTCAATTAGAATCAATTATATATATAGAGCATTATTGGAGTAAAGTACAAATTACGCCTTGTTTTTGTAGATTATCCTCTGGTAAACGTTTACATAACTATGAAAAATCACCATGCTATTAATGGGAAAACTCACTATTTCGACTGGGCCATGTTCGAAAACATTCATTGGATCCTATCCAGCGGGAAGCTAGTCGAATGATTTCACAGATTTCACATGTCCACATCAAAACTGATGTAATAATCATGATCAACATGGTGCCTGAAAATGGAATATACCTCGAAATTCTTATGTTAATAGTGAAAATCAATGAAGATGATAGATATCATTCATAACACATCAAATTTTGTGGCTACCATTGTGTATCTTCATGGCCAATCTCAGATTCACCCAGCAAAAAAAAAATCTTTGCTGGTGAACATAGATAGTCCCATGCCAAAAGACTAGTTAGGATTAGTTTCTACCCATCCAGTTGATTGACCTAGAGTATATCCCATTATATATATATATATATCCCATTAACGATGGATTTTAAACCAACTATATCCCATTATATATCCCATTGGTATATATATATAATTGGTTTAAAATCCATTGATATATATATATATATACCATTATCTATCCAGTTGGTATATATCCCATTGATATATATATATATATAATATATATATATATACCATCCAAGATTGACCTAGATTTTCAGACCCACAGCCGTGTTACACGATGGCTCGGACATTTTTGTTGAGGTTTTCCATGCCACACTGACTCGATGGCGCATGTTCTTCCATGATTCTTCCATGACTTCAATATAGATGATTAAACTACAGTGATTCTATGATTTACATATTATGAAACAAGTTTGATTTACATATAGATTATGAGATTATGAAACACAAGTTTACCGTAATAGTCCTTCACGAAACATATGTTTTGTCAACTCCGGTGTAACAAAGCCCCGACTGATTATATAATTGGGTATCTTAGCCCCAATTTATAGAGAACTTTGAAAAACACATCATCCCCATTGAAAATCTGGAGGTTTTGCAATCTCCCGGGTGAACATTACCCTCTATGTCAAAATAGCTGTTGAAAATGGCCATAGAAATAGTGGATTTTCCCATTAAACATAATGATTTTCCATAGTTATGTTAGTTTACTGAAGGGTAGTCCGACCAAAAATTGGTGGATTACAAGAAGTCGATTGTGTTTTCCCGCGATGTCAATTCAAAATATAAAGTTGTACTCCAGGCATTCTGAAGATGAAAAAATACGCCTTGTAACCCCTGTTACCCTGATTGATGCTCAAAAGTTACACAAGTTGAGGGTAGATGCATTGCACTGGAAGACTTTGTTCCACATCATTTTGGCTTTGTGGATCCTGACTTTCTACTTGATCTGTGGCAGAAAAGAGGTCGTCGAACTGAAGGAAGGCTCCAAAAAATAAGAGCCGTCGATAGCACGTTGATCCAATTTCTGCAATCATACTGACTTACTGGATGTTTCTGGGTTGTACACTTATGCCAAAACTGGAATCAATCTGGAGGATAAGAACAGCTAGAGCAAAACCTCTCATGTGGCTTAGGGAAAGACGTTGAACATCGGAACGCACGTTGGGTCCAGTCCTGTGTTGCCTGTCTCCACCTGAAAGGCAAACACGTCCCGCCGGTAATGACCAGCAGGGTGCAGCCAGGCGAGTATCGTCGCGTCGGGAAGGGCTGGATGTGTGGGCCCTTCCCGGCGATCCTTTTTCAAAGAATTTATCTTATCCAGGAATCAACAAATCAGCCAACTCCCATGTGTCACCAGTTCATGGCTTAGGTCCTGGTCAAACTTGTGCGGTAGGTCTTTGGTGGACACATGGGATTTTTTCTCAATCTCATGACCATACAGGATGGTGCCCAGTTATGTGAATGTTGGTTTATAAACCCCATGAAGTAGTTCGTTATATCTATCATAAACATCCATAAACCATAGAAATCAGTTATGTTTGTTGGTTTATAAACCCCATTAACTAGTTCGTTATATTTACCATAAACCATGGAAATCAGCCACAGCCATATCTCAACTGAACGCAACAACGAACGGGGGCCCCATATCCTGTATTTCTTCATCTTTTTTGAAATCCCCCGCGCTTCGGTCGAAGAGCCAAACTCTCATTTCATGGCAGTTGTTTCCCTGAATTGAGGAAATAAACATGCGGAAATATATCCCAAACATTCCCAAACCAACCATTGTTTTAAAAGGGTCAGAATGGAAGTATATCTAAGTATATCTTATCTCAGGCATCTTCTAGAAGCAGACAGAAACACAGATTTGGGGATTGATGTTTTGTTGTTTGAAATAATCAGGGTTACAATGTAAATTGTGTGACTGTTTTAGACACAACTTATGCATACTGATGTAAGCATAAATCAACAGATGTGTTTGTTCGATTCCATTAATTTGGTCAATCTTTGCTAGTCCACAAAAAAAAAAAACAATATGTTGCTGATTATTTTCTTATGTTTCTACCTAAAGATTTTCTGATGTTTCTACCTAAAAAAACATAGCCAAAAATAAACCTCGCCGGATGAGTTTCTACCTATCTCGGTTGGGGATGCTATGGGATTATCCAGCTCACGCTGGATGTAGCTGGGTGAGAATGACGTCGCAGTGTGAGATCACCAAGTAGAGAGCCGTGGAGAGCATTGTATCATCTTCCTACTTGAAATTAACTTACCCTTCCAGTAAACTAACATAGATATGTTTAATGATATGGAAAATCGAGCGTTTCTGTATCATATCATCTGGAAACCATGGGAAACCCATGACTTTCCATTCCAGGTTGTTTTTTTTTGTATGTTTACTGTTTACCGGAGAGCATGTGATGATTTTCCTTTTGAACATCAACTTTAGGGATCATCAACAGCAACCAAAAGATGTCAAGACAAACGTTGCACGAAATCAAACAAAAGCAGGCCGTCAACGTTGGGAGGACAGTATACTATACATAAATATCTGGATGGTGGTTTCAGCTCCTCTGAAAAATATTAGTCAGTTGGGATGAAAAATATATGGCAAAAGAAAAAATGTTCCAAACCACTAACCAAATATACATAAATGGGGGTTTCCTGAAAAGGGGATACCCCATACCCCTAAATCATCCATGTTATTTCCAAATTTTCCATCATTATAAACCATCCAGCTATTGGGGTATCCCCATGACTATGGAAATCTCCAAATGAGCTGGCACTGCAACATTTGTGGAAATCTTGCACCAGTTGATAGATGGTCCAACCTATTATTTATAGGGTTTCAACCATCCAAGGTGGTGCAGGATTTCGCAACCATCCACACTAGGAGCATGTATTTCACTATGACTACAACCCCGCTGAAACCTCATCAACCTGAGAATTGTTCTTCCCATTGGCACCTCTCGGCCGCTTTCGGGGTGCAGCAAGGCTGAAACAGCCAAAGGCCCCAAAGATTGCCTGGCATCTCTAAGTTTCCAGCTTCCCATGGTTTAATAAACATAGATAACCATAGATATTCTATAGATATTCCACGCAGGGCGTTTCGCCGCCTTGGGATTTTGTAACTGGACATCGCTGGCATATCTACTGACCATAATCCATAGTTATTCTAAGATAGTCCAAGTTAGCTATTTCAGTTTTCCATAGTTTCCAAGCTATTAACACAGTTAGACTCCTGCGAGTTTCCAAGTTTCCCATGGTTGAATTCCCATCAAAACATCTATGACAATCCCGGCGAGAACCCCATCAGTTGATTTTTCAAAATCACCACGTCACCAACAAATTTTGCCATTCCGATCTTCCCATGGTAAAGGTTGTATTCCCCGTAAACCATAGAATTCTCCGAATTATATTAATATATATATATACATAATAGTACTATATAATATTCATTGGCTTTAAGTTATAGTTATAAACATGTATAGTAACAATATATTTATAGTTATAGTTATAGTTATAATAACACTATATAACTTATAACATCACCAAAAGCCATGATTATCCAATCCCATTCCCATGTTATCGCAGTCAAATCCACGCCTAGATCCACGCTGCATCTTTTGCCACTCCGTCATTTCTCTGAAGAGCTCCAAGCCTCAACCGCAAGTCTGACCCTGGGGCAGCACTGGATTTAATGGAATGTGATGGGTAAATGATGGGTAAATGATGGATAAATGATGGATAAATGATAAATAATGACAAATTGATGTCTATTGACAAGTTGATGGGTAAATGATGGGATTTAAGTGGAATTGGTGGGATTTAATGGGATTTAAGTGGAATTAGTGGGATTTAGCTATTGACAAATTGAACATGGTGATTTAACATTGTAAAACACCTCTCAAAATGCTGGTTGAATGGGATTTAAGTGGAATAATGATTATAGGCTTTGAAACCAGCAACATATGGTGGCATTTCTGGAATTTGAGGGTTTGGATCCAGCAACCTATGGTGTGTAATGGGATTTAATGAGATTTAATGGGATTCATATGGCATTAATTATCGTGATGTACTGGAATACAATGGTCTTATACCATGAATAGTGGCATTTTTTGACCAACTAATATTCCATTGTGCCAATATAACTGATGTATATTGGAGTATAACAGGAATTCATGGAATACATTGGTAAGTCGGTTGATAGGGACTATAGTTTGCCAGGTGGCTAATATATGGTGCTGTAATATAACTACTTACTACCTAGGTAAGTTGATTTATTATTCACAACTATTTTAACTAGGATTTCAAAATTAGTTGTTGTTCAACCTAGGTCTTGAGAAATTTCCAATATTATACCCTCAGGTAAACGTTTACATAACTATGGAAAATCACCATTTTATAGCTGGGTGAATCAACTATAAATGGCGTTATGTAACAAATTACCAGAGGGTACAACTATTCCCTTTTTTGGATAATGTCAACCCTGGATTAATAAACCCCTAGGTTGTTTAATTGGGGGGATACCATTTAAGTATCAGATTATGACTATTTGGGGAGTACCCCCTAATTAATAAACCATGGTTTATTAATCCGGGGTTTACATTATTGGGTGAATATGAACCAACATTTGGTTGATATTACAGGATCCTCAATGATTCAACGGCGATGACCACGCTATCCACCAGTTTTTGTTTACGGACATTCCCTGCGGCTGTGCGAAGATTTTCCCCACAATTTTTGTACCTTCCGCTAATCAAACGTGACTGGCTTGAAACGCCAATAAATGGAGGTTTTAGTGGGAATATCATCTGGTTGGTGGTTGACCTACCCCTCTGAAAAATATGAGTGAGTAACAGTTGGGATGATAAAATTCCCACTATATGGAAAGTCATAAAAAATGTTCCAAAGCACCAACCAGTCATAGAACTATGGTGGATTTTCGAAGCATCAATGTTTGATTACCAGAGAGTTTACCATTCCGTGTGAACTACCCCAAAGCCATCGGATTCAAATTTTGACAAATTCCGTTCATACGCTAAAGCTGTTTAAGGGGACCTCAACCAGTGCTTCCAGATTAGCTCTGAAAATGGGTTGTAACCACAAAACCATCGGTTTCCGTCTGGTCATTTAACAGTTTATGAACTGGAAAATCATCATGTTTAACAGTTCAACATCAGCAATTCCTCTATTTCTATGGGTCATGTTCCACAGCTATGTAGCAAATTACCAGAGGTTAAGCATAATTTTCCGTATGAAGATAACCATAACCATGGCCAGGAGGCTGGCAAACATCCCTCTTTTCAGACCTTAAGATCCATTGGTTGACCTTAAATTTCTGATGGTCAAACCTCAGTTCAATGGGAGATCTCCAGGATCCTAAAATGGAGGTACGTTAGTACCATATAATTGTGGGGATATTCCCTGAAACTAAGGCCTTATATATGGAATCGGTACCTCCAATCAATCGGATCCTGAAGATCTCCCATTGATCAATGTTGAAACAGCATTTGGGGCATGATTAGCGAACTGGGTTTCATCACCGTGTTTCATAGGTACATCATCCATTTTTATCAGCCATGTTCATCCATTTTCCAGTTCGCAAACTGTGTGTTTACGGGAGGGTAATCCTACCCATAGAATATCCCCATCTTTGTGGCTTTTCAGGCCCTGCCTCGCTCCTGATCCTCCACTGGAAGACTCTCCAAGAACTCACGGCCACATCCCAAGACCACTGAGAGCCTTGGAGGGAGGACATGGCGACGTAAAGAATATGAAACCTGGATACAAATAGGTCTATAAGCCTATATACATAACACAGCCGAAACCTATAAACCATGTTAAACCATGGGTTAGTAAATCTATAAACATAACTGTATAACACCTATGAATATGTTGCAAGTATATTTAATAACCACACGGATCCTAACTGGTTAGTGCCTGGACTTAGAAACCACCCATTTCGAAATGGGATAGCCCTTGAGGATGAATCCGATCAGCAGGGTTATTAAACTAAGTGGGATGATCCTCTAAGTATACAACCTATGTACAAATAGTAGGTAAGTATTTATGTTACAACCATCTAAAGTGACTCAGTTTGTGTGGAATATGCCTCTCTGTATAGATCATTACCCATCATAACAATATCAACACATTTTGTGTATATATCATACCATAGCCATATCATATAAACCTATCACAACTATATGAAACGTACATTAAATATTTGGTGAATACATTTACTAACCATATAAAATAACCCAATTACTTACTCATGGAATATGCCTATACTTGTATATATCAGAGCACATTGTAATGATATGACATGATATGATCATATGTTTGGTAAATATACACCTTATAACCAGATCGAGTATATCAAAATGAAAAACCTATCACAACCATGTGAAACCTATAGATATGTGGTAAATATACAGCTATATAATAATCAAAGAAATATTACCACATTACACATAGAAAATGCCTGTTTGTACATATACATCAATATGTACACATACATTATATTATATACTGTATATATGTATACGTGACACATGACTTATAAAGCACTTCCCATTCCGGTGGCCATCCGTGACTATTCCCATCGATTGCCATCGCAAAAAGATCGACTCAGACACTTGCCCCAAAGTCAATCCCAATCATCACAAGGTGGTGCCCCCCCAGTGATGTGAATGTTGGTTTATAATCCCATGGCAACTAGTTCGATATATCTACCATAAGTCCAAACGTGAAATAATAGTTATGTTCACCAACTCAGCAATTCCGACCGGGGGCACCTTTTCTCATCAGCTCCGGCACCTTTTCTTGCCAATCCTCATCAGTCTGTTACGCAAACCTATCGCGTTCATATGCACCGGGCCGTGCAACCAAGGTCTAGCTTTGAAAACGCCGTGACCCCGGGGGGGCCCTTGGAGCTCAACCACGGTGCGTGTCTGTACAACGCTGAAACCCGAACCGCACTGGCTGCCAAGTCGGCGTAGAGATATCTACCAAGTTACGCCTGTAGTTTGCCTGCGTGTCGTCCAATTTACCTGTCTTGGAAACCACACATTTGTATAATTGATACCCTTCTGTAACCCACTGGTTGGTGGTTTGAACCTCTCTGAAAAATATGAGTTGATAAAATTCCCAGTATATGGAAAAATAAACATGTTCCAAACCACCAACCAGCCTTTCTGTAGCCAATAAACTCAAATTGGGCTCTCTTCAGTCATCCAAGTTGGGGTCAACACCCATAGTGGCTTCTCAACAAGTTAGTGGAGCAGTTTGCTTCCTGAAACAGATGATAAGTTTTGCATCTCCTTGTTGATTTTCCTAAGGATTACCGGCAGAACAGTAGGAAACAATATTTCTTTGTTTTTATTCTATTGGATTGGAAAGCGGGTGCCACTTTTCTGGTGTCGAAATTTCAACAGCCGTTTTTCATAAACAAGCCATGACCTGCCAACTATGACAAGCGCAGTGAGGTTCGAGAAGCAAAATGCCTCAAACCTTAACCGATCACTCGGTCAGATAGGCACCTCCAAATGAGGAACTTGGACCATTGGCTCTCGATGGAAAACCAGGAAATTCATAGGAATAACCCATAGTTAGTGCTGGTAAAAGTTGCCTACATAGGGGTATATCATCCTGTATAACGGAATTATATTGGATAATAACAGGGCTTTTTGCCCACATAAAAAAACAATCTGTTTGTTCATAGCAACTTACCACCGGAAGCTGATCAAAAGATGGCAGGTTGAAACATGGGTTGAGCCGTGACCATGGCGCCTCACTCGCCATGCCTTTTGAAATTTCTTTGGCAGCTACGCATCTTCGCGAGCTGAGCGCGTGAACCGTTCACTCAGAAATCAGTGCAGCCACTCAGCTGGCAACTGAAACCTCCGAGATGGACAAAACGGGATCAGACTTGAAATGATGGATATTTATGGTAGATGACTATTGGTTGGTGGTTGACCTACCCCTCTGAAACATATGAAAGTCAGTTGGGATGATTATTCCCAATATATGGGAAAATAAAACATGTTCCAAACCACCAACCAGATAGATAGATAGATATATATATATAACTATGACTTACGGAGGCTTCCATAAATGGGGATACCCAAAAATGGATGGTGTTTTTCAGGGAAAAGTCAAATCTAAAATGGATAGAGGTACCCCAATTTTAGGAAACCCCCATTTATCATACCCTCTGGTAAACGTTAACAAAAAACTATGGAAAGATCCACCATTTTGTAGCTGGGTAAATCAACGAACTTTCTATGGCCATGTTCAAGTTCGCAAACTGTTCGATAAAACCAGATTAATCATCCATTAATCACCATCTTTAATGGGTAAATCCACTATAAATCACCATTTTCAATGGGTAAATCCACCATTAATCACCTTTTTTTTTAATGGGTAAATTCACTATCAATGGCCATGGCTTCATGGCCGCAAACATCCAGGAGTCCAGTGGCAAATGGCCGTACACTGCCCTAAGCTTCTTTGGTAAGGTTGGGGATGGTGCAATTTCTTGGATTTACCACGTTAGTTACGTTAGTTTCTTTAGAAAATGATGGTTTCAAGCAACACACATATATTTTTTTGTCCATGTTGTTTTGCCAGAGAGTAGCTGGAAACCACAAGCGTCAAACAGCGGAAAAATAAGACCATGCAACCAAAAAACATGGGCAACAATCAGGATACTGAAGCAATTCAATGTGGTTGGCTGGATGTTCTTTTTCGTTTTTGGGTCCTGTCGGGTCAGAATTAGGCTCCCAAATCATTTGAGGGTCAATTTATAGTATCCCAAATAGATCCAAATACGGGGTATAATTGGGGATGGTTTATTATAGTTATCCCAGAATTATCACTCTTATCCCACTCTCCCATATCAATCCATATTCTTCTATTAATATCCTACTAATCTACTATATCCCAATATTCTCGGCTTTACCACATTCTGGGGCTTAGGACGCATGGTCCTGCCCCTTCTCTTTGTGGTTTGCCAAGCGCGTTTCTCTCTCCACTGTAGCTTCGATTCAGGTTTACCAACCAACAACCACCGGGCTTACGAAAAGCGTCTACTTAGATGGGCCATGCAGTCATTTAACTAGTTAGTAAATGGCTTATTTCATTGGGATTGTTTGGGGGTAACATATCCCCAGTTACATGGCCCAGGAATCGCTCGTTGATCCCATGGCCCATCTAGTTGTATCATCAAGTGGGGGATCACTTTTGGGGAGGTTGAACACCTTGAAATCGCTGGAGATCATCTTCATCCCATTTTGGGTTTTAGAAACAGCAACTGGATTTCTCAGACCATTGCAGATCTTGCACAAGCTGGTGCCCAAAAACAGTGATGTTTGTCGGTGTATAAACCATGGATAACCATAATAACTATAGATATATCTACCATAAACCATAGTGAAATTGGAGTTCTAAACGCACCAACTTTTTGTTATTTACCCCACTGGGGCACCACCTTGCAGTGTTTTTGTGTTGTTGACAAGTTCAGTAGCCCCTTTTACGGCCTCCATGCGCTCCACCTTTTTTCGCGAAAGATGTCTTCTTCAAAACGACAACCCAATAGACTACGTATATAAAAGGAAGCCTGCACTGACATTCACCCATGTGTTTGAGCAAAACTATCATTCACTCAACCACTCACCATCAACTGACCATCATGATCCATCATTTATTGCATCCCCATATTTTGATGGCTAGAAACCCCGCCTATGTGATGGTCAAATCTCACTAATTCACCATGTTCATTGGTTAAATCCCATGAAATCATCATGTTCATTGCTGAAGTCCCCAAGAAACACCCTGGTTGGTGGTTTTAACCATCTTGAAAAATATGAAAGTCAATTTTGGAAGGATGACATCCCATATATGAAATGGAAAAAAAATGTTTGAAACCACCAACCAGTTTTCCTCATCACCATTAACCAACATCATTAACCATTATTATCCATGATTAACCATGATTAACTGGTTGGTGGTGCAATTAACCATCTTGTTTTCCAGGTCTTTTTCCGGTTTTCATGACCGAAACCGATCCCGAAACCGCCTCGCCCTTCCCCGCCTCAGACCGGCACAGCGGCTTCCTGCTTGGCATCGCGCGCGTTGCTGCGTCCCACTTCGCGCTGCTTCTTCTGCGCCTTGCGCAGGGCTGCGAAGGCTGCGAAGGCTGCGAAGGGGATGGGACTTCGTGATGAGATTTGGGGATCTAATGATGATAATCCATAGTAAATTATATATATAGGGTATAAACCATGATGATAATAGTAATCCATGATGATAAATCATATATCCATAGTAATCCATGATGATAATATTATATATCGGGTATCAACCACCATAGTTGATTATTTTTTTTTATAAACCACCATTATTATCCATTATAATTGTATGTGTTACTATAAACCATTTATATTTTGTTTAATTATGACTGGTTGGTGGTTGACCTACCCCTCTGAAAAATATTAGTCAATTGGGATTATTATTCCCAATATATGGAAAAATAAAATATATGTTCCAAACCACCAACCAGATATGGATAACTATAGGAATTATATATAGATATTACAGGAATTATATGGGATAATCATATTAATCCCATGATAAAAAAGGAAATATTGTCGCATTTGGGATTGTAGGAATAAACCATTGATTATTTTTGGGACATGTTTCTTTGGATTGTAGGAATTAAGCAGTGCTTTTACTTTTTAGGAGGATTTAACCATCATTTTGAGATTTTTTTTTTGGACTTATCCATGAAAAATAGGGATGTATCCAAAAAATCAATAGATTGATTTAGAGGAAAATCTACAGGCAAACCTGGATGTTACACCCAAAGATACAATAGGGCTTTCCTGCAAATCATCCCTTAATCCAATAACGGGATTGAAAGGAAGAAAACCAACCATGAAGTGGATGATATGAGTAAATATATTTAATGTTGTTTAGTTAGTTTTCCATGCTTCGTGACGGCTAGTGAGAAGTAAATTGGAAAGATTTGGATAAAACTGCCTATTCTGAGCAAATGTCTAGTCATTCCATTGATTCCATGTCATTCTCAAATCTATGTTTAAGGAGCAAATGGACGATATGGATGTTATAGGATGTTGCAAGGGTTGGTCTTATCAGTTCTTCTCCATCAATAGCAATAATTTACATAATGAACTAATCATTGCTGTGCGGTGGTTTTTACATAAGGTTGAAATAGATCTTATATACAAACTTTTGGTAATCTAACATAGCCATGGAAAATCACAATCATTAAATAGGTACAAGTAAATCAACTATACATGGCCATGTTCCATTGTCAAATAACCAGAGGGCAATATGTTGTATGCGAAAAATGGGGGGTTCCCAATTTCTGATTTGGATGATTTGGGTGACCCCGAAAAAAAAAACGGGAAAGACATGGAAACACCGGTGATTTGTTTTCGTTCGTTTCAAGGGTTGATACATCCAATGGAATACCATGAGATAATGAGAACATCACAGTTTATGTTTATAATATTTTATAATCTTGGATAATGATAGACATATTAAGGATGGATCTCCATGAATTTCCCATACGTTTTTTGTTCCCATCATGTTCACTCATCAGGTTCCATCCCAATCCTATATTGTCCAATAATGATAATAATGTTAGTAATGGTGATGGTTTGTGATTACCATCCATTTAAGGTAAAATTGGTTATGGTCCTTATTGTTATACTCACGTAATCCATATGTAACCTTTGTGTCCCAGTATTTTCCCACCTTAATCACTACACTTTCTTCACTATTGGTAAATAACTGGTTGGTGGTTTCAACCTCTCTGAAAAATATTAGTCAGTTGGAAATATTCTTCCCAATATACGGGAAAAAAATATGTTCCAAACCACCAATCACACAATGATATCCATTCATTGTCCATGATTATTCACCATGTTTTAACATTTTCCCAGCATTTTCCCAGCATTTTCCGAGACTTTGTCCCAGCACCCTGGTCCACCATGGAGTTCCACCGGCGTTTTGGAACACCAACGGCGCCCACCGTCTTTGGTCACGGGTATCCCAGACCTCGCGGGCGCGTTCTTCCGAGTTGCGGGCCGCCAGCCAACGATCGCGAGACACCACCTGTCGCCCGGTGACAACGGGAGATGCGTGAAAGTTGGGCCATGGAAAAAAACAGTTAACTTCTGTGAGTTCTGTGAATATTATACATACATACATACATATATATATATATATGTATGTGTGTATAATTATAGATATATGTGTGTTTATTCTTGAATGTATAGATATATGATATGTCTGATATGTGTATTATATGTGTGATATAATGATATATTTTTGTCATATTGGTGGTGATGTGTGGAGCACAGATTCACTTCAGCTAATGGTTGCGGCGCCATGCCTTGTCTGGGAGTGCGCCCGCGTTCTTGGTGCCGTGGCTTTCGAACTTGTCGTGGCTGTGCTCCGCATCGAAATGCTCTGCCTCCACCCAGGACGGCTTGAACTACGTGGTGAAATATGGGGATATCATGGGAAAATTCATGGTGGTCTAAGGGGATTTCAATGGGGATCAACTGTCAAAGCTGGGGATCAAATGGAGATATCATAGAAAATTCTTGGCTTTCACCAGTTTTTCACCAATAAACTAATAAACCATGGTGACTGTTGTGGTTCAATGGATGTTAATACAAGGTTGGATAGCTAAGTTGGTAAACACAAGCATCTCAACAAATACATATAGTTGGTGATTGTAACTATAGGTAATGGGGTGAACAAACACGACTGGAGGGGCACAAACACTAAGTTCTGTGCTACAAACACTAAGTTCTGTGCTAAAGGGTTTTTCAGGGAGGTACAGCAAAAGAACCTACCAGGTTGCTTTTGTAAAGGGTTTGTGGCCATTACAACTATACAGTAGTTAGAATAGGAATAAACCAACTTATAACAGGGGGGCACCACTTCGAACTGCACTTCCAAACCATCCTTTCAAACAGAATTTGGTAAAACAAATGCCATAAACAATTCAAAAAAAACAAGTGACGTTTATCGAACATACTTTGTATATATATATATATGGACATGTATATACAGTTATATACATATCTGGGTAAATTATAATACTTCCCTAACCTGAATCTTGCGGCCATAAAAGGGGGTGAGTTCCCTATATCTAAACCATGATTTCCAGTGAGGGAGGACAGTGAGGTCGTTATAATTTACGCATACGTATTGTGTATACCCAGTATACCCACAGGACTGGGATGATGTTTACTATGATCTCCAGTCATGGTTGCTGGCTTATCATTGGCTTCACTAAATTGTGGGATTGCTATGGTCAAACATGTAATAAATTTTAAAGTATTAAACCATAGCTATACTAACATTAGGAAAAACAATGTATAACATTTAAGTACTGGTGGTGATTGTTGCCATGGTAAAACATATGCTTATTCTTATTAAACCATGCCATAGCCATGGTTAATGTTTACCTTACAATCTTTGGCACCACCTCGTAGCTATGGGATATGACTACAAGGTGGTTACCCCTCACCAACTTCAGCATCAATCAACGATGAATCGCCAACTTTGCAGACTAGTCTCCGGTAATTTAAGAGTTTGCGAACTTGAACATGGCCCTAATCGAAATACTTGATTTACCCAGCTATAAAGTGGTGATTTTTCATATAAATCCACCATTTTCCCATGGTTTTCCTATGCTTTTCCCATGGTTTACCAGAGGCTATGTCTAGGATTCTCTAGGAAATCCACCACCGGAGACAGCGGCCTCTTCCATGCTGAGATTGAACTCAGCCTTCTCCGTGGCTTCCATGGCGGCCTGGGATTGAGAAAGTCGACGGAAATTGGGTATAAATACCACCATAGTTGGCTAAGAAAAGCTAAAGCCCTGAACATATACCAGTTATAAATGGCTATTAGTGTATCTATAGGTATAAACCACCATAGTTGATTATTTTTATGAACCACCATTTTTTGTCCATTATAATTATATGTATTACTATAAACCATTTATATGTTGTTTAATTATGACTGGTTGGTGGTGGACCTACCCCTGTGAAAAATATGAGTTCGTCAGTTGGGATGATGAAATTCCCAACATATGGATATATCATTCATAATGGTTATGTATAAATCACTCAATCACCATGTTTCCATTTATATATAATACTAAAAACAATTTATAAATTATTCAAAAATGATGTACCATGTAAAATGGTTATATCTAAATAATATCAGTACACTATCAGTACAATGTGAGGCCCCCCAGTTATAAGTTGGTTTAGATTTTCCCCAGTAACTATAGTTATAAGTACCATAAACCATAGTTATTGGAGTTATGTTCACCAACTTAGCTATCTTGGGGGCACCACATTGTGTGGGTTTATATGGTGGTTTCAACCCCTCTGAAAAATATCGTTATTGTTATATAATTGCTAATAATAAAACCATATTCATATATATGAATCATAATGATCTCTCCATTGATTTCCTGAAGCCCGGCCCTTTGGTTTTTGTCGTTCGCCTGGTCCAGGCCACTTCGGGCCCAGGCCTGGCCGGAAAATCGCTGTTCGTTCGTTCACCATGGGTTTTTACGTGGGGAAAAGATGTGGAACATCTGGTGAACATATGGTGAATATATATGAAAGTTTGGGATTTACATGGATTTACCATGAAAAATGATAGAAAACAGGGATTTGACTAGAAAATATGGAATTTACATGGACTTACTTATTGAAAATGGTGATTGAACCATGAAAAATATGATGGAAAACAGGGATTTGACGAGATTTAAGCATGAAACATATGGAACATATGGGATCTAGTGGGGATATAGAATCATTTTTTTCGTGGCAGTGGGCAATCAAACATGGTGATCGTATGGAAATCCCAAACCTAAATGGACATTTTGACACCAGGGAAGGTACCCTAGTATCCACTAGACGTGGACAATCACCACGTTTTTTTTTTCACGTCTTTGGAAGGGCAATGTTTGCCATGGTTGATAGGATGTGGATATGTTGGGGGGTTATCTAATAATGAGGAGATTGAAAAAAAACATGGAGATCGACATTTGCCGGTTGAAGCAGTTAAATCCTAAGTCCTCGGATTCTTGGATTCCCTACTGGGTGGCGAACTACCCACGAATCCTCTGTAGCTTATATCTAGTTATATCTCTGGTTCATCCAGTGGGATAAGTTGGTTTTTCATCCACTGAAAGAACTGGGGTTATATATATATAACTTACTTACGATTCGTAGGTAGTTCACCACCAAGTAGAAATAACCATATATAACTGATATTTCAATTGATATTTCCATTATAATCATTGTATAGTCAACCACATTAGTAAATCCCATTGGTAAAATCCCATTCTTCCCATATTATATAAAAACAGTCTTCCCATATTATATAAAAACATTCCCATTAGCATTCCCATTATTATTCCCATATACATATATATATTTATATATAGTAGAAAGATACATAGTATTCCCATAATCACCGTTATACTATACATATATATATATAATAGATATTATCTGTATATCTATACTGTCTATATTGTGTATATATATATAATCTGTATTCCAATGACATCCCATGATATCTATATATTTGTATTGGATGTGTCTATATTCCGATGATATCCCCATTACATAATGAAAATGGGAAAATATGTATGTATGTATATATATATATCATATATATATATATGCATGTATACTCCCAATAATCATTATATCTTCAATGTGTGCAATCAATATATAGTATTATAGAAATCATATGTGCACATATTATTCAATGATATTCCCATGATGTATTCAATGATGTATATCTATACTATATTCCAATGATCTTCCCATGAGATAGTCATTCCCATTCTTCCCTTCCACCGTTCCCCCACTGAAACGCGCCCCCCCGCAGCCATGGCCTCCTCATAGCGCGCGGTGGCCTGCTGCTGCGCCTCCAGCGCTGCTTCCAATTGCGCCTCAGCAGCCTCCAATTCGGCCTCGCTCCTCGGTGACGGCTGGGATGGTTGGAATATATGGATATAAAGAGATCTAATATATGTATACCTGGAGCACCCTAAAGAGAATAATTATTCTTTGGCAGCATAATTATTAATAAAGTGTGTTTTTGAGAATAATTATTCTCCTATACGATAAAACCCGTTCAAGCATTGGAGCACCTCTTTGGGTTACTATTTTGAAGCCCCCAAAACAGGAACTATTTCTTCTGATTTTGAGCTTCTATGCAGCTAAACCTTATGGCACTGTTCAGAACCGTTCAGGGCCATTAAAGACCGTAATGTGTACGTTGTTTCCCATTCAAGACCGTTCTCCGAAATCCAAACCGTTCGGATTACGTTCAAAGTACGTTCAAATTACGTTCAAATTACGTTCGATTACGTTCAAGTTGCGCAAAAATTACGTAAATATTATGTAAAAAATAGGGTTCCAAAACAGCACTCTTTATGCAGCTATTTCTGTTGATTTCATACAAATAAAAAGGGTTTTATGAACCATATATGCAAAAGGCACCAGATACGTTAAAAACCGTTCGAGGTCGATAAAAACCGTTCTGGTAGAATAAAAAGTCAAAAAAAGACAAAAGATTAATAAAAGTCTTTTTGTTGAATAATTATTCTCTTTAGGGTGCTCCAAGTATAGATAGATCATACAGATAATACAGTATAGAAAGATCATATAGATAATACAGCATAGATAGATCATATAGATAATATAGATGGTTGGAATGGGATATAGATAATGACTAGAGATAATGATAATGTAGATAATATGACTATAGATAATGTACTATGACTATAGACAATGACTATAGATAATATAGAAATGTAGATAATGACTATAGATATTTTCATATATCGGCCATCGTATGATTATATGCTGATTCCCTAGAATGTCAATCACTACAGAGGCAAGACCATGTTGGTTGATCAAATTCAACAGGTTGGAATACATAGAATCATATAGAATATGAATGATTGTCAGTGGAATCTATGGGATGGTTGGAATATGTAGATATAAACAGGTCTAATATAGATCATATAGATAATATATTATAGATAGTATAAATAATGTAGATAATAAAGAAAATACATTACAGTTAATATACAATGGGATGGACTATATTCTGATCAATGGGATTAATAATATATATATATAATTATTCGGATTCCAATATATAATGGGAAAATCATTGGAATATAGGTATATTCAAAAGATAATAGTAGATAATATATAGAGATAATACAATATAGAGAATATAGAGATATATAGAGAATATATCCACTCCTCGGAGGTCAAGTTGGGGGACCAAGAAGCACTTTTTGCAAGAATGGCACCACTAGAGGTACAAGAATCCTGACCTAGTGGAACCAAAACCGGTCTTACTAGCTTCCGAGCTGCACTTGCAATGTGACCGGAAGCTGTGTATCAGTACCAACATAAGCAGAACCACTAGCAGAGCAGCAACAGCAGCGGCAGCAGAAACAGCAGCAATGATAGCAGCAGTATGAGGACCAGAAGCAGTATTAGGACCAAAAGCAGCATTGGGACCATCATCAGTCTAACGAAAAAGAGATACTCTCTGGTAAACTAACATAACTATGGAAAATCACCATTTTCAATGGGTAAATCCACTATAAATTACCATTTTCAATAGCTATGTTAAATTACCAGAGGGTATGGATCACGGGTGAGGATCATGCAGTATCAAAAGGCATCAAGATATGGATGGAGAAGTATGGATCGTGGGCCCCGGGCCTTGATCCATATACCTTACATTTTGACTCGTACCCATATATAATATAATATAAAAATATAATAGAAAAAAACGCAATATAATATAATAAAATATAATAGAATATAATAAAATATAATATAATAAAATATAATATAATAAAAATATATATATATAATATAATACAATATAACATAGGATATTTTAATATAATATAATATAATATAATATAATATAATATAATATATATAACAATAAAACATAATATAATAAAATATAATATATTATATTTAATAAAAAAAAATATAGTTAAACATAATATAAAATAATAAAATACAATATAATGTAATAATATATATGATTTAATATAATATATGTAATATTAAATGCATAATATAGCTTATTTATATATATATAATAGAATATATATAATAGAATATATATATATAAGAATAAATATATAAAATATAATATATATATATAGAATGTAATAAAGATTAAGCCGCTAAAGTAGTCGTCCAATTCTTTTCCCCAGTAGTGTGGTAATTAAACCCAATAATAAATCATCCATCAACTATCCATTAACCATCCATCGATCACATTGGGTTTACCACATTATCACTGAATCATCCATGAATCATCCAGGAATCATCCATGAATCATCCACTAATAACCCATTAATAGTTCATTAATTTTCCGAATTATCCATGAATATTTCAATATTGATGTTCCCTAAGTCATTGGGGTACCCAATTTTATCCTCCATTTATCTGGGCAAATTATAACAATCACTAACCTGAAACTTGCGGCCATTTTGGAATGATTCCCTATATCTAAACCATGATTACAGTGAGTGAGGGAGAACAGTGAGGTCGTTATATATATATATAAATGCCATTAGTTATAATCATTAGTATAAACCAGAGACCATATACCATAGACCATAGTTATCACGGTTTTATAAACCATTACAATATCAACCATGATAATGCCATTAGTATTATCCTAATGATAAACCATATAAACCATTAGTATATATATATATTATATATAACTAATCATTAGTATAAATCCCATGGTATCCAAAAATCACACAGACCATTAACCATGGGATTCTCCATGATAAACCATCCAGCAGGCTACCGGGATACCCCATACCGGACACCGACAAGAGCCGAGTTTCAGGGCCAATGTGCGACCATCCAAGAAGCCTTGGGGCCGAGACCACCAAGAAAAGCATGAAAAGCCAAAACTGACGATGTATAGATGGAAAACAATCAAACAAAAAATAGAAAAGTGAATCTTCACTAGTTTAAATACGAAATTCGCATGACTGGTGGATTTGCCAGAACAAGAAATGTTTAAAGGCTAAAATGGTGTATCAAGCCATCTCATCAGAGGTATCAAGAGAGCGGCTTCGTCCAAAAACAAGTTTGAGTTTGAAGGTGCAAAAATGGAGATTCAACACCTGTTTATGGCCATATCCAAGTCTGAAAAATTGTCTCCCAGATCCGATTCTTGGTGTGAAAAAATGCGGGATGTAAACGGTAGCAACAAAGTGAGCCCCCCAGAGACTGGCTTATGGTAGATAGAGCATATTTGCAGATGGGCGTATCCACCAATTTATAACTGGGGGGCCTCTCTTTGAACAAAACATGCGTCATGAACCCCAAATCATCCTGAATTCATTGAAACCCATGGTTTTTGGGATCCCCCATTTTAAGACGACAACCCTAAATTCATGTTTCATGCTGTTTAGCCAACAAAATATGGTGGTCTTTGCAGCACTGGGTGGTCTATGCACAGATGGATCTCAACAGCCTCACCACAGTTCGGGATTTGATCACCAGAATAAGATGTGAACCATACAATGAAGAGAGAAAGGTAAAAGGAGAGAGAGAGAGAGAGAAGGAAAAAACACTCATGGTAATTATGTGTGTATATATATAATTACTATATATACATTGTGTGTACATAGAATGAAAACCGACACATACAAGGCGCAAAAATTGCCAAAAAAAACAAATCATCCGGCAAAATACAAACACCAGGCACACATTTATTTTGATTGTCCAAAGCTGGCGATCAAGTGATATCAAGTGCGCACGAACTAGAAGATGAAAGCAGCAAACATGGGATTGACTATTATATTTATATATATCATTATATATAAATATATATCATATTATATATATATATATCTGGTTGGTGGTACACCTACCCCTCTGAAACCCTCTGAAAAATAGGAAAGTCAGTTGGGATGATGAAATTCCCTATATATGGAAAAATCGAAATGTTCCAAACCACCAATCAGATTACCTTGATGCCTCAAAGCTGGGAAACATAACAATGCGCCCTCCTGGCTGGCTTTGGGGAACCCAATCGCCCCTCAAACTTCAATGGCATATTCAAGGTTCCCAGGGAAATTGGTTCAATCTCCTGCAGAGTGTCACAACTCAAGCAATCAAGGTTTTCTGCAACCTTCGATGCGCCCTTTAAACATATTGCTCCCCAAGAATGGATCAAATCATTACATACGAATAGCGGACAAAGTTACTTGTTCATTTTCATGCCGTGCGCAAATTAGAGTCACTAGGTCGTCCCCTATCGATAATGAAGGTTTTGCACACCCCTCAGCAAGGCCAAGGCGAAGCACCACCCATTCGCGAGCAATTGAAATACCCGTTTATCCTCTTTCATATCGCGTGATAAAGAAATGCCGCCTTTTTCATAGGCAATTGTTATTTAACATAGCCATGGAAAATCACCATTTTTAATACCATCTATTTCTATGGGCCATCTATGGAGATTATTCAAAGGTCGTTGATTGCAGCAAATTTGGCATGACAATCCCATCCATTGATGGTCGCTATGTGATGAATCCCCTACATCCACCATGGTTTCTCCTTGCTGGATGGAACACAACGGTGGCCTCCATATGAAAGGTGTCATTTCCGCTGCTGTCACAAAAAAAAATGCCGGCTTTCCCTTCCAGTAAGTTAAGACTTAAGATGAATATAACAAACGATTTACACACGGCAGGTGGCTCATACCCCCTGGTAATTGAACATAGCTATTGAAAATCACCATTCTAATGGGTAAATCAACGAACTAAATGGCCATTTTCAGTACCTATGTTAGTTTACCAGAGGGTATCATAAATCCATTGGGCAAATCTACAAATTTCCAGGCGAATTCCGATCTGAATGTCATGTTTTGATTCATATCTATAGCACCCCCAGATAAACAGATACAAAGAAACGTTGGAAAGCCAGAACTCACGAGGTAAATGATCAAATAGGATCTATTTAATATCCTGAAAACACAGTTTCTATCTTCTTTATGTTAAGTGGTTTGGCGGGAATAAGCCACATGCTGCTCCACACCCAGCCCCTGTTGCGAATTGCCACGGAACCCAAATAGGCAGCTTCCACATCCTTGAAGGGCAAATCCTTAGATAGCCAGGACACATATGTTTGAGACAAAGAGTCACAGAGAGCACGTGGGTGGGCCGTTTGGTTCGTTGATTGGTTGTTAAGTGGGTTATAACCAATTAACTATACCCAGTTATATAAATTGCAACGATATATTACTGGGTATTACCCCGACACTAACTGGTTCACTAACTGATTTTGACACAGAATTATCATATTGAACAGTGTCAAAACCGATTGGAGCATCCTGTTGAGATTGAATGGTTGGTTAATGCAGGTCCCGACGTTTCAAAGATATGATGGCAGTGAATAGCTCGTGGGCATTGAGCAATAACATTGCTGGTTATAATATAATTAATGGATATGTTGATGGCACTTATGATTCCTATACGATGTTTCTTTGCAAAACATGAGCACTCAAATGACCAAACCGATTTGCAATCTAAGAAGAGTGGTCATACCATTTAAAGTATATTAAAGTATGTGCGTGCGCGGTGAAACAGAAATGAATGCATCATAATGTATCATTGCAGCAATACAGAGCGTCAAATTTAAATAACCTTCAAAACATTATATTTCAGCTGGTTAGTAGCTAGTCCCATTTCATCCTGGCAAAGGGCTTTCCATGAAAATTAACTGTGACTGGGAAGTATTGAATCATATTGGGATGCTGGGAATGCACTTCCACTTATAAATGGATATATATATATATATGTCAGCACGCTTTTTCGGGGGCCCCACATTCCAACTTACGGAAGGTCTCACCAGGAGGTTTTACCAGCTGATAACTCATTTACTGCACCCCCAAGGAGGATTGATTTTTTGCGATTTACGCGGAAATTTGATGCACCCAACAGTCACTTTTTCAATGGGAGATCTCCAGGATCCTAAAATTGAGGTACGTTAGTACCATATGTTTGGCCATATTTTGTGGGGATATTCCCTTACATAGGCCTTATATAGGCCTTATATATGGTAGGTACCTCCAATTTAGGATCCTGGAATGGCCATTGATTTTTGGATATGGTCCAGATTAATCCTTCCCACCCAGGTATATTACAGTTGTTCAATAGATTGACAGAAAGGCTGCTCATCTGGGAACGATTTTCTCGCTAACAATGGTCAAACATACTGGTATTTACCATGTTTTTTGTGCGAACGTGTCTTCGTTTGAACGATCTCAGTATGCTATTGTCTAAAAGATGTATTAGCCTTCCCCACTTCAATGTGCGTGTTCCACTTAGAATAATTAGCACATGTCATTCATACGTCCTCGTTGTGTACAACCGCTGCCTGCTGCCCGATGCTGAGTTGCATCCTGGTCCAGTTTTGATGTCCTCAACACATCTATTCTGCTTTGTGAGTCAGCCAGCCTTTCACAGCCACTCTGAAAATTAAACCAGGGTTTCTCGGGGGTGTTTAGTATTCGGGGATGAGATTCATTATCTGAATATCATCCACATGAATTTCTGGGTGAATCATAATAGTGCACTATATAACCTGAAAATAGTTGTTATCATACCACCATTTTGGGATGATTCTCCAAATCCTAACCATCATTCCGAGACGAAAAACAGCGAAGTCATTTTAATTCATCCAGACTAATCCACCATCAAACAACCGTCATTAAATACACCTTTGTATAGGAATCACTTAATTCTATAGAAATCACTGTCGTATTGATTACAGAGGGATCTATTGATTACAAGGATACACCATAGGTATTTCAACAATTACACCGTATACAACCATATACATACAAACGTGTACTACTAGGGGGATGCGAACCATTCTGACATAGTGTGTTTACTTCAAGACGAACCACATTTCTATAATCAACAACTGAAAACTATAAAACGGTTTGTCTGAAAATGGGATCCCCATTTTCATCCACTCTTTAATAACCATGTTCATGCATTTCCCTTTAAAAACAACCATGAAACGGGGTAAACCTTTCAGACACAACCAATGGTTTCCGTTAAATTCATAACCATGAATCAACAAATGTTTAATAACCCATAGGTTATAATTAACCAATGGTTGATTCATCATTAACCAATGACTGATTCATTAATAACTCAACCAATTTGTCACATTTTCCCACATTTATAACCATGTAAGTAATAACCATTTGGCATGGTGATTTTCCATAGTTTTTTTGTAAGTTTAGTGAGTTTTCCCATTAGAAATGGTGATTTTCCCATTGAAAATAGTGATTTTCCCATTGATAATGGTGATTTTCCCATTAAAAATTGTGATTTTCCACATTTTACCAGAAGGTAATAACCATGTTCCCACATTTTCAGACACGCTTGGTCCATGACGTCACCTGGGACTCGGCACGTCTTTGCGCTGCAAAGTGCTCACCTTCTTGGCCGTCTCCAGCCATTTCTCCAAAGGCACCGGGGCAGCCCTCAGTGGAAACCAAGGGACCCAAGGGACCCCAAATGTGGTGTAAATACCTGGGAAAAGTATGATGATATCGTTCTAAAACCAATGGATATTGTTTTTGGGGGAGATAGGTGTAGAGCTATAGTATGTTATAGTTATATATAGTTATTGGATATATACTGAACATAGTTGGATACAAAACTAATCAGATATGATAATTTCATTTGGGATAAAAATGAGTTGATCAGGCTGTTTACCCATCCATTTTCAATCATCAAAAAACTAAGGACGTGGCGATCTACTACATCCGCTACCGTACCTGGGGATGTTCTAGAATCCTTGAAGATATGGTTAAAGAATGTCAAAATTCTATCACTATAAACAGTGGGAATATGTTAAAATCGCTTTGTTGACGTTCACCAATCCAGTTGTAGACAAGCATATCCCCCGTGAACATGGCGTGGATGTGTAGGACCCAGGAATCTTAAATGCTTGACATCCCATATCTAACCCATGTAATGTACAAGCGGGGAAGTTCCAAATATCCATACATAAATACATATTATATTAATATAGGTAAATGAATCAAACTATGTTTATGACATAATTAGCTTCCACATGTTTCCACCAAATGATGTATGATCTGATTATTGGTTATCTGATTATAAGTAGATCAATATGGTGATCTGATTATTGGTTATCTGTATAATCATATGTATGGTCATAAGATCACCAGTTTGTTCTTGTTATCTGATTATTGGTAGAAACTGTTTCGCCCAAGGACTTGGCAGGAATGTTTCACCAGTTTCGCCGAGAAAATCCTCTGGTTATGACTAACAGTTTGCTATTGAAGCCATGGCCATTGATAGTGAATTACCCATTAAAAATTGTGATTAATGGATGATTAATCTGGTAAACTAACAGTTTGCTATGGAAAATGGCCATTGAAATAGTGAATGTTCCTATTTTTTAAAAAATGTTATTTTTCGTAGTTATGTAAACGTTTATCAGAGGGCAACTATTAGTATCATGTGGTTGGGGAACTCTGGCTTCGTAGCTCCAACTGCTTCCCCATTTGTCACAACCCCTGGCTGAAGTTCATCGCTCCCTCCTGAGCGCCAAATAGATCCAACTGATGGGTTCATGCCCAAGAATCCTTGGCTGCGCAGAACTTTTTTTCGGCGAATTTCAAAGTTTGATCTTTGGTCATCATATCCCCACGTTGTAGGGATGTTGGGCCTAGCTGTGCAATACCAATCCAGGTGTGGACCAATAGTTGCTCTTAACCAATACCTCCTGGAAATCCCGGAAGCTGAAGTTCAGGAGGCAACACATATTCATAAACTGTGCCACTTCTGGGAACTCCATTCGTCCTGGGCACCAACATGGCCACATACAGCGATCTGTCCTGAATAAACAGTGCGACAGGGGAAGATCCATCTGGACAACGCAAGACTTCTGTGAAAGTCTCGCTGCTTGGGTGGAAGGCCAACACATTCCCACGACCATTGTCAGCAAGATAGATTGTTCCACTTTCAGTTACATACAGGTCCGATAGGAAAGACTGGCGGCCCTCTGGGATTTTGACCACCACGACAGGTTCCAAGGACTCAGCTGGATTGATGCGCCAAATGCGTCGATTTTCAGTCGAATTGTCCAAAAGATAGATCACCTCTTCCTTGGTTACAAACACCCGGTTCGCTTTGAACTGCTTGTCTGCTGGAAGGCTCTCGGAGGCAACGACCGTCTCGAGCGTGGAGACCACCACCTTTGCCACGGTTCTCCCGTCCCCGCTCAGCACATACAACACTCCGCTGGGAGAGTAAGACAGTACCTTTGCATCAGTGTTGCCAACAACTAAGTCTCCAGAACCATTTTGAAAGCGAAGAAGCCTCCGATTCTGCCAATCTGACACAAACATCTCCCCGCTGGGCGAGATGGCTAGATAACAAGTATGTCCCAAGTCATTGATTCCAGTGACAGCTGCGCCTTCGCCTGCAACAGGTCTCACAGAGGTTGCAGGGTCACCGGGCTTCGAACTGAGGATGCGGCGACCCTCAAAATGCGCAGCAAAAAGTTTGCCTTTGTCCCAGCTCAAAGAGACGCATGGAAACGGCAGTACCTCTCGCCCTGAAGCTTCAGTGCTGGCAGTGCTGGCACCCAAAAATGGTGACCAATGCTGCAAACGACGCCTCTTGGACTGAAAAGCACCTGGACTTTGGGTTCTTTTTCGGGAAGTCAAAGCGCCGGCGACTTCCCTTTGCAGGTCGTCACCATTCTGACCGGGGAGAGTTGCATAGCCGAGGCGATGCAAATTCTCAATGGAAAGAGAATGGAAACGTACCTGTTGCAGCAGCATGCCCAGAAAGGCATCTCTGTCCTTGGAAACTTTATTCCAAATAAATATTGCGTTTACCACTTCTTCTTCGCGAGAGACACCTAGATCTTCCCTCCTCAAAATTCGAGCCAGCTGACTGGCACTTAGCTTTCCAAAATCTGGATGCTTGCTACTGGTCTCAAACTCTTCAGCAACCTTATCTTCACATGCATCTCTCAAAGAATGAAGCCCATGTGCTTCTTGTAAAATTTGCAGGGCAACACTGCCGTCCAAGGAGCCACGGATGCCTGCCTCAATTGAACTTGCTAACTTTGGCAAGTCGTAAGCCTCTGCCAATCGTAGGAGTTCGAGAGCAACCTCTACTGGTACTATAGGCTGCCCGTCATAGATGTAGTCCAGCAATGCAGACAGTGCAACTTTGGACGCATCCATTTCTACTGGCTGCTTTCGTCGTACCCTCTCTGCTTCTAGGAACGGCCCACCCAGCAGTTTTTTAAAAAACACGCTGGCAGCAGACAGCACGGCCGTGTGGGCGTGATGCTCTGCGCCATCACTGCTTTTCAGCACTACATCGCAAAGATGGTCGTCCATCCAGAATTGTCGCAGCTGCTGCATGATGCAGGCCCGATGCTGCACCGGATCTGGGTGTTCGATCTTGACAGCTCCCATGGCGCGGCTTCTACACCGCAAGGCAGTGATTGGTCGCCTTCTTGGCAAATAGGTGTTGTGGGGACCCAACCAACGCCTGAATGATCTATATATATATAGTCACTTTGCACATGATGTTGACTACAACCCAAATTCAAGAACACAGAATCTTCAAATAATAGGTCCAACAAATGCAAATAAATACGCGCAAAGCTGCAATTCCCACATGGATTACATAGATCACTGTTGGCCTTTTTGGACCATAAAAACAGTTCAAGTTGGGGCAGCTCGCCGCAGCGGCCCAGGTAACACACGAATTTATGGCGGTAATTGAAGACACCAATTTGCATAGCTTTGTCGTTTGTCAAATGTTTTTCCTGTATTTTGTTCTGGGGTCTGTGAAAATATGTGAAAATCCACAGTTGTTGCCAGTTGAACCACCCGTTTGGGGTAGATACCAAACATTGCTGCTTATATCGAATCAAATAATTTCATAAGTCGTAAATATTGAACTAGAATAGACATGATTCTCACTTTTGGATTTCAAACTCCTCGCTGCATCATTCTTTCTTGGTTCATAAAAATCCAAAATTGTCCATGTCCGTATGCCGAGTGGTAAAACCATAAAAAATCAACCTTTTCTATCAGGAAAATCTCCGCAAAATTGGCTGTTGCCAATCCCAGATCTCCATAGATATCCTGCTTGTGCCACTTCTTTTGAACTGGGTTGATTAAGATGGGTGTTTCCATCTGAAAAATCGACTCCCAAGATCCATAAATTGCCATATGTACCACCATTGAAATATGTTGTTAAACCTTCTTAAACCCAAATCTATTGTTGGTTCAGGATGATATGGACCTCCCCAACATTTTACCTTTCATCATTGGGTTTACAAATATCTTTTGGTCATACCCCCCAAAAAATCTACCCAACCATTCACCAATCCAGCGAACCAAGTTCTTTCTCGTTCTTCCCATTTCATCTCAAGATACCCGATGGAAAACTTGATGTAATGTACATCTGTATATCTCATTCTTGGTCGTACAAAGCTCTGTTCTGCACTCAAGTTTTTCCCAAAACACATCCTGTAACTGAAATGTAAGCCTACCATGCGTCAAATCGCCCAAAACATCAACGCATTCATTCTACTAGTATACCAATCCCATATGCTCCATGTATGGAATATTTACCAACATGTGCCCTAAAAATCACAAAAATGTAGGTAAATATACCATACATGAAGCATATGGCAATGGTAATCAATCGTTCACAGTTTTTTCCAGTCACGAAGATTTACCCAGTTGTAAACACAGATTTTACCATAATGTCAACCCCGGATTTTGCTAAACCACGGTTTACTAATTAGGGGGTATTCAGGTATTCCCCCAATAGTCATGATTTGATACTTAAATGGTACCCTCCCAATTAAACAGCCTAGGGGTTTATTAATCCAGGGTTGACATTACTGTAAAGTAGACATAATTGGATGCAATTGGTGATCTTTTGATAAACGGCCCAGAAAAAACAAGGTCATAAATAGGCCTTTACAGACATGTCCACCATAGTTTTATTCCCTATGGATCCATGGCAAGTATCTTCTTAGGAAGTGGGACTGGGGTATGATTTGGGGGGTTAGCCGTACCTTCTTGGACAGTTTTCTGGATCCATAGGGATTTTCCCAGTCTACCAATATGTCTACAATGTGGTGCCCCCCCAGTTATGAGTTGGTTTATAAGCCCCAGTAACTATAGTTATAAGTACCATAAACCATAGTTATTGGATTTATGTTCACCAACTTAGCTATCAAACGGGGGCACCACCTTGTAGCTTCGGTTTCCAGTACCACCCATTGCTACCAAGTCGCGGCGTCGCCGCGGCTGCATCCGCCAGCAGACCCAGAAACTCCTACCGGTAGGCGACGATTTTGGAGGAGAGATGTTCCATTTCACACGGCAAAAACTATAGTATTTAGAGTGTCTTGTGACCAAAAAGGGCTTAAAACCGTTATAAAATTTTCAATGTTATATATGATATATATGTATCTTGCTATACATGTATATGTATGTTATTCAGGATTTTGTCCAGATGAGTTAGCAAAGGATGCCTCAAGCTTTGCTTCAGATGATCATATAATTATTGATTTGGATAATGAACTTATTTAGAATTGTAAAATGAATGGTCTCTGCACGACTTGCCATGAGCTATGATCTTAGCTATCTGATGGACATAAATGATCATTTCTCCAGAGTGGTGAAGAATTCGGGACTAAAGCACTGGAAAACGGGAGAGATTCGGCAGACAGTGCAGTACACAATGCTGCAAGAATGAACATGAAACAACTAAGTGGATCGTAACCCAATACATCCCACGTATCAGTAGTTCTAAGGGTCTAGAAGCCACTTATCACTTGCAGCTCATTGTGGCAACGTCCAGGTACTAACATCCAGGTACTACCCTCTGGTAAACAAACATAACATAGCTATTGAAAATAACAATTTTTAATGGGTAATTCCATTATAAATGGCCATTTTCCATAGTTATGTAAACGTTTACCAGAGGGTAACTAGTTTTCTTTTACTAACAGACATGATGAGAAACCCGGCTGAGGTGTTTCCAGCGCTTGGCTTCGCAACGCTTCAGAAAGATTTGTAAAAATAAAACGTTGCGGCCGTTGGGGATATCACCGAAGCTTATTCCCAATATATGGAAAAATAAAAAATGTTCCAAACCACCAACCAGTATAGTTAATTAATGTTAATTAGTTGATTTAAAGGTTTCCAGTTGATTTAAATAGTTTGTGGGTCTCCAAATGGATGGTTATGAAACCAGCAATATTATTGCTGGTGCATTAATACTACAATATTAACAAAGCAGGTTCAAGCATATCCTGAGGATGATAGGGGTGTGTCTGAAAATAGTGTACCCCTAAACCCAATGGTTAATGATCATTATCCCTATTAAATGGCTATAATTGGGAATATACCCTATTTTCAGACAAACCCATAGTTTGGCTATCGGCCATGATTGTTATCACGATGTTTTTTCCCATCTCCCAACATGGAAAAAACCCTGCAGAACCCCTGATTTCTATTCTTATTGGATCTAATGTCAACCCCGGATTTTGCTAAACCATGGTTTATTAATTAGGGGGGCACTCCTCCAATAGTCACAATCCAATACTTAAATGGTACCCCCCCAATTAAACAATCTAGGGGTTTATTAATCCAGGGTTGACATTATTCATTTTTGGGGCCCATTAAAAGGTAAATGAACATTTACTGTCAAGGGATTGCCAAGCCTATCTTGAAACTAGTGTCAACTCCAGATCAATAGACCCTTCGTATATTCCTAGGCCGTCACTTTTTGGGTGGTAACTCCCCGAATTTTCATCAACCAGGGTTATCAAACATGGCAATGGACAGCCGCCATGGATGAAGTTCCTTGATTTTACCATTTGGATTTTACCATTTGCAAGGTGGGCCCCTCTAGTTATAAATTGCAACATTTGCAAGTACAAACACCATTAACTAAATATAAATCTACAATACCCAAAAATAACATCGTTGACCTAGTTATGTTCACCAAGTTGGCTATCTCAGGTGGGTCTACCTGCTTTTTATGCCATATTTTTTTGATATTTCCCAGCCATGTCTGTTGACCGACAGCGGCAACGAGGGAAACGTCCTTGGACAGGGCATCGTCAAGGAGTCCTCGGCCGATGATGGAGGAAGCAATGAAAAAAATTACTCTACTTCGTGTGATCCCCACCATGACATGTCAGGACGTATATTTGGACATATATTTAGTATATTCTGACATCCTATCTGACATATATTCTGGCATGTATTCTGGCATTCTATCTGGCATATATCCTGACATTCCACCTGGCATTCTATCTGGCAGTCTATCTGGCATTCTATCTGACATATTTTCTGACATTTCATCTGACATATATTCTGGCATTCTATCTGGCATTGTATCTGACATATATTTTGGCATTCTATCTGACATATATTCTGGCATATATGTTGGCATTCTATCTGGCATTATATCTGACATATATTCTGACATTCTATCTGGCATTCTATCTGGCAGTCTATCTGGCATTCTATCTGGCATTCTTTCTGGCATTCTTTCTGGCATTCTATCTGGCATTCTATCTGGCATCCTATCTGACATTCTATCTGGCATTCTATCTGGCATTCTTTCTGGCATTCTTTCTGGCATTCTATGTGGCATTCCACCTGGCATCCTATCTGACATTCTATCTGGCATTCTATCTGGCAGTCCATCTGACATTCCTACATGAGGTCCGGCAGGGAACACTTGGCGTGGATACTCGCAGTTGAGGTCCGGCAGGGAACACTGGGCGTCGATGGTCGTGGTTGGGGTCCGGCAGGGGGCGCTGGGCGTGGCTGGTCGTGGTTGAGGTCCGGCAGGGAACACTGGGCGTGGCTGGTCGCGGTTGAGGTCTGGCAGGGAACACTGGGCGTGGATGGTCGTGGTTGAGGTCCGGCAGAGAACACTGTGGATCGCGGGTCGCAGTTGGACGAGGACGACGAGGACGACGAGGACGACGAGGACGACAAGGGCGACAAGGATGACAAGGAGGACGAGGAGGACGAGGAGGAGAGGAGGAGAGGAGGAGGAGGAGGCGGACGAGGCAGGAGGCAGGAGGAGGCAACTGACATAAAATCTAACAACCCTCACCTGGCAGGTGGGGAAACACATGAAGGTTGATGAAACACAAGATCCACCCTCCGACTCCAGTTTACAGTAACAGTAACACTATAGAAAGTACACCATGTGCTAGTTTACCAGAGCATACACATATGTCATCTATGTAACAGGGGTTGACTTGTGCCCATCCTCAGATACATGGCTCACCTTCCGGACTTGCTGGGATCATGCGATTTATCGCAAGTGGTGAAGCCGCAAAGCCATTTTCTTGACCCAAAATTGCCCCTTTGTTTACCCTCTGGTAAACTTACAATTCTTACAAGAAACTATGGAAAATCACTATTTTTAATGGGTAAATCCACAATAAATGGCCATTTTCAATAGCAAACTGTTAGTTTACCAGAGGGTATCCCCTTAGCTTGGATTCGAAGAAAGCCCGAAAGCCCGAAGACCTATGCAAATCAAGCTCCCAAGTTTTATTAGTGGATTTCCCAGTGGGGAAATAAAATAACACATCTCCAGCAAATCTAGGATAGTAGTTGATTCTCCCATAAAAATGAAAACCTCCATTTATAGCCAATGTTCCTCTATTTTCCCATTAAATCCTCCAATTATAATTGATTATTATCTCAATAAGTCTCCAACTCACCGAACTCGAGTCATTCCACTCACTGGGGTAATAGTTTTTTTAAAAGAAATATTCCTCCAGTATCCCAGTTTAGGAATCCACACAATAGGCCTCCATTTATAGTTACCATCCGGTTATTTAACATAGCGAACTGGAAAATCCCGAAACTAAATGCAGGTTTAATTCGCTGGGAAAATCATCCATTTTCACGGGCCATGGCTTCCATGGCTATGTTAAATAACCAGAGGGTACCCTCTGGTAAACGTTTACAAAAAACTATGGAAAGATCCACCATTTCTTAGCTGGGTAAATCCACGAACTAAATCACCATTTTCAATAGCTTTTTGTATGTTTACCAGAGGGTAAGCATTCCAATTATTCAATTTATTCCCCCATTATATCCCCATGAAGATTCCATTCATATACCCATCCTGGTGATATTCCCATAAAATATTCCCATGAAGAAACCCTCTGGTAATGTGTTAGTTTTCATGGGAAAATCACCATTTTTCAGGGGAAAATCACCATTTTTCATGGGAAAATCACCATTTTTCCAGAGGAAAATCACCATTCGTAGTTTACACACTGCAGTCATTCCAGGCGAATTCCATCCGCACCTCGTCGCTTCAGGTCGTTAATCACCTCACATCTGGGGACGATGCGCGGGACCCGGCGCCGCAGTGGAACTCATATTTTCTTGTTAATGTCAAAAAAATGCATAAACTTTTTTTTCCCTCTCTTGTATACCTTGCAGGCAAGCATCTTGAAGCCGATGGCAATAACGAACTCTAATAGACATGCATTTGATGGCAGAACATATCGCAGGATATCAAACCAGATTCCAATCAGGGACCCAATGGGATCTACAATTCCGGAAGCCAGTGGATTCCTTATTACAATAAAGAGAAGCTTGAATCAAAATGCATAAACAAATTGGATGATTGCTGATAATTGCAGCTATATATATATAATTATATATATATATATCTATATAACTATACATATAGTACTATATAATTATCCTTTCTCCCTGGCCATCCACAGTTAAAGCACTGTCATTTCGGGCCATAGTTCCAATCCTTTACCCTCCAGTAAACTAGCAGTTTGCCATGGAAATTGGCCTGTTTATGGTGGTTTTCCATATCAATCACCATTTTCCCATGGTTTTCCTATGCTTTTCCCATGGTTTACCAGAGGGTAATCACACCAACGTTCGAGTGCCTCTTCAGGTTTGAAGGTGTAGTAATTCTCCCTTCCGCACGTCACCACCTTCCTCGGTGTTCACCATTCTAGGGCCGGAAGTGTATGGCCGGGTATGGCCCATGGCCTGTATAACAGTTGTAAATGGGATGAAATACTTCCTGCAACTGGTTGGTTACATACATATAATTATATATACATATATCACTGAAATCAGGTTTTCTTAGCCAGTTATAACTGGCTATAGGGCTCTAACTATACTAACCCACTAACCCACTAACCCACATATATGTGTGTGTGTGTCCAAGATGGCGCCTCTTGCTGTACTCGGCTGAGTCTAAAGTGCACATATTGATAGTTAGATGCATTTATAGACCAAGTATATATATATATATCTACCATAAACCATAGTGAAATTGGAGTTTTTTTTCACGCACCAACTTAGCGTGAACAGCAAACAACTGGGGCACCACCGGGCCTTGGGAATCATATGGAATCATGGTGTACCGGACCTATTTTGGGGTTGGTCAGTGATCAGCAAGTGTTTGAGACAGACCTCCAGTGTTGGAATCATACTTCTCCATTGGGACTTTCGTGGTCCTCTTGGATAGTGCACATTGGCATCTTGGTGCCAAAACCAGCTCCCTCTCGTTGAACTGTGAACTGTTCGAGTTCGAACTGCGGTTCATTGCTGCCCGGGAGCCTGGCTACAGCTATTACTAATATAATCACAGTATGTATATATATATATATACATAATATATATATATATAATATATATATATATATGTATGTACTATATATCAGCCAATAGTACTGCGCTAATATACAGCTATATATAATCTAATATGTACATATATAAATAATACACAGTATTATATACAAATAATCCGTTCCCCCTGTTAAACACCCTGCAGAAGCCATGGTTTTCATAGGGAATTGACATATATGTGTCTTCAAGCTATGGAGTACCCCAAAATGGAAAGGTTTGACAGTTTGACATGGCATAACATGGCTTCCAAATACTACCCTGCAAACAAATAATTTAATAGTGGTTTAGTGTAATCATATCCACATTTCAGGGAAACTATATCTGGTAGGTGGCTTCAACCCCTGTGAAAATATGAAAGTCAGTTGGGATGATTATTCCCAAGTGAATGAAAGTCATAAAATTCATGTTCCAAACCACCAACCAGATATTTCAAGAAGGTCCTGAACTCATCATTCAAGGTTGACCAAAGAGATCACGAATTCACCCTGGCCCCGTGACCCAGGTGACACAGGTGACCCAGGTGACCCAGGTGACCCAAGTGAGACCCATGGATCATAGAAATTCCAGTGATATCACTTGTTGCTTAAATACCCATGTTTGGTGATCAACTCTTATCCTCATACCCAGTTCCACATTGGTCAAGTATGTTAAATGCTCATATCGAATGGAAGATCTGGGTAAATTATAATATGTCACTAACCTGAATAGTTGGGCCATTTGGGGATGATTTCCCTATATCTAAACCATGATTCCAGTGAGGTTGCAGTGAGGTCGTTATAATTTACCCAGGAAAATCCATCTTTTGTTTTTGATGTTCCCATTCAAATGCCCAGGGCCATAGGGGATGTCCCATTTTTCTGACCCCCATTTTTGGAAAAGTGAAATCCCCATTGATCACCGTTGGAGCCCAATAAACCACCATCATTAAATTTCATCCGTAATGATCACCATCTGTAAGATGTGTACATAGTGTTTTTCCCCTTACTTTAGCATATTTTTCTGATATTTTGGACCCTGAACTATTGGGCGATTGGAAAACTCTAAGTAGCTCCTTGGCTCCCCATTTAATACGGAATATGAATACCCCTGGCTCCTTGGCTCCCTCCTAACCACTGGATAGTAAACCACCATCATTTTCTGGCTCCGCCAAGTTTCACAACCGCTTTGCGCAGACTTTCCTTGCCGTGTTGACCTGGCGAATACCACGGCGTCGGGTTTTTGGATCGGCTCAAACATGGCTGGGACAAATCCGAACGAGTTTGGTTCTACATGCCATTCTATTCCAGTTACGTTACATTACAGTAGTATGTGTATATATATATATATATATCATGTTTTCTTATTGATATTCCCATAGTTTCTCCATTTTTCACGGTCAAATCATGTTATGTCACTGAAAATGCCCATGATACTTGGAGGATCATCCCACTTGGTAAGTGGTGAACTAAGCCTGGTGACATCACTACCCAGTTACGATTCCTGGAATGATGCTCCAAGTAAAATTGGCATATCACGGGACCAATCGTGGGATTATATATATATATATATCAATATATGATTTCACATGATTTCACTAAGTACATGTTATGTATATGTATATATTGAATACTATAGTGTCTAATATGTTTTTACCAGGTTGTACTATATATATTTGAAATACTAATAATGCATGATGGTTGTATCACTCTACATTTTCCCTATCTTTCGTCGTGAAATCCGTATTTTTAAGCATGTTTGATGGTTATATCCCCATATGTTCCCCCTTTTTTACAGCTTAAATCCCTATGAATGTGGTAAAACTCAACAAAACCATCCTCAAAATCACCATTTTCATGGGGTTGTATAAATCATCCCCAGTCATGCTAGGCAATAATGTCCTTTGGGGAAAAATAGAGGAACTGGTTTGGTATACATATGGTTTATAGTACAACTAGTTATCAAATATAATCACTATGGCTTATGGTTATCAAATTGCTTTACACCTAATATGATGCTAGGTCTACTGGACTTCTCATACATTCCCATACATCATACGCGCCCGCCTTCACGGTCGTGGATGGACTTCAAGCGTTCGGCGATGTGTTTGGCGCCGTCCTGGAGATCTGTGGTTTATCATCCGTAAATGGTCCATGTTTCATGCCATATATCTGGGTAAATTATAATATTTCATTAACCTGAATCTTGCGGCCATTTGGAGATGATTTCCCTTCTTAACCATGATTCCAGTGAGGTCTCCTTATAATTTGCCCAGATATATAGGTTTCCTACGATGGGGGTACCCAAAAATCATCCGACATTGTTTATCAATGGGGAAGCCAATGGTTTGGGGTCATATTTTCGGAAACCCCCATATGAGTGGGGATATTCCGTATATATAAGTGGGGGTATAACATAGTATAACATGGTATAACCCATTTTCGAAGTGGGGCCCGTACCCCAAGTACTGGGTGGGGCCCCAGTTTGGAATCGCTAAGTTGGTTTATGATGGTGAATATAACTCCAATTTCTCTAGGGTTGAGAGGATATAGCGTATATAGTTAAAGCATAGCAATGGATTTTCCATAGCTATCAGTGGAAATTCCGCAATTAAATAGAGGTTTCTAGCTGGGAAATTCATCAAAAATGGTTTGCTGGAAAATCCCTCAATCAGTTCGTAGAATTTCCCAACCAGAAGCCTCCGTTTATTTAAGGATGTTCATGATTTTCCATTGAAAGCTGATAGCAGTCCATTTTTGGAAACCTTCATATATGTGGGCTGATGTTTGCCCCAATTTTCCCCAGTTTGCTATGAAATACTCCATGAAGCCAGATTTGTTTACGATTGTTTCCTATATTTTGTAAACTTATATATCATGATTATAATCCCATTAGATTTAATGTGTCATTATTCAGCATTATTCCATATGATTCCCTATATATGTATACATATTCCCATTTTATTCCCATTGTAAAGTAAAGTATTCAACATTCCCAACAGCACAATAGTATATATATATTCCCATTTTGTATTCCCATAATGTTGATGTAATACTATGGGAACATAATACTATTCTCATCTTCTATTCCCATCACTATTCAACATTCCCATAATACTACTATATTGTAATATGCTTCTGTTGTATATATACTCCCAAAATATTCCGCCATAATGATTCCTATGTATATATATATATATATATAACCCCATTGGACGTAAATTCAGATATCAAATGGTCCTTCAGATAATATACATTCCCATCTTATTCCTGGTTGGTGGTTTCAATCCCTCTGAAAAATATGAGTTCGTCAGTTTGGATGATGACATTCCCAACTGAACGGAAAAATAAAAATTACTTTACTTCGTGTGATCCCCACCATGACATTTATACATTTTCTTACTGGCAAATCTTCTGGCATTCTATCTGACATATCTTCTGACATTCTATTTGGCATTCTATCTGGCATATCTTCTGGCATATGATCTGGCATATCTTCTGGGCATTCTATCTGGCAAATCTTCTGGCATTCTATCTGGCATATCTTCTGGCATTCTATCTGACATATCTTCTGGCATCTCAATCTGGCATTCTATCTGGCATATCTTCTGGCATATATTCTGACATATATTCTCTCTGGCATATCTTCTGGCATATCTTCTGGCATATATCTATCTGGCATATCTTCTGGCATATTTTCTGGCATTCTATCTGGCAAATCTTCTGGCATTCTATCTGGCATTCTATCTGGCATATCTTCTGGCATATTATCTGGCATTCTATCTGGCATATCTTCTGGCATATATTCTGACATATCTTCTGGCATTCTATCTGGCATTCTATTTGGCATTCTATCTGGCATATCTTCTGGCATATCTTCTGACATTCTTTCTGACATTCTTTCTAACTTTCTTCTGCACATTCTTTGTCCCATATCTTCCTACATGAGGTCCGGCAGGGAACACTTGGCGTGGATACTCGCGGTTGAGGTCCGGCAGGGAACACTGGGCGTGGATGGTCGTGGTTGAGGTCCGGCAGGGAACACTGGGCGTGGCTGGTCGTGGTTGAGGTCCGGCAGGGAACACTGGGCGTGGATGGTCGTGGTTGAGGTCCGGCAGAGAAGACTGTGGATCGCGGGTCGCAGTTGGACGAGGACGACGAGGACGACGAGGACGACGAGGACGACGAGGACGACAAGGACGACAAGGATGACAAGGAGGACGAGGAGGACGAGGAGGAGAGGAGGAGAGGAGGAGGAGGAGGAGGACGAGGCAGGAGGAGGCAACTGACATAAAATCTAACAACCCTCACCTGGCAGGTGGGGAATCATGTTCCAAACCACCAACCAGTAATATGAGGTTATAACCATAAAGTTTTGAACTGGTTGGGATTATAACTCCTGCAACTGGTTGGTTATATTATCATTCCCATCTTCCCATTGTATGGATAACTACAGGAATTATATATATAGACATTACAGGAATTATATTGGATAATCATATTCATCATATTAATCATATTAATCATATTAATCATATTAATCATATTAATCCCGTGATAAAAAAGGAATTAATCCCAACCAGTTGGGATACTTCTTCAACAATATGGGATATACCATTTATAATGGTTTAATAAATAAATCCCTATTAAATCTCTATAAAATCCCTATTTGTTGCTAGTGAATCACAATTATTATCCATTATATATATACAGTATATTACTATGAACATGTATATATACCATTGTTACAGATATAACTAGATATTTATGTATTAGATATAACTAGATACAACTAGATATTTTTGTATTTATATATACCATGACTATAACTAGATATTTATGTATTATAACGGTTATAATCACCGTAATAATCATTGTTATAGAACTGGATAAATCCCAAAAAAACATTATAATCATCATTTCATACACCATAAAGACACCAACTATTACAATTGTTATAGATATACCATTGTTATATTTATGTATTATAAATCACCATCTTTCCATTGTATGGATAACTACAGGAATTATATATATATATATAGATATTCCATTGTAATGCGCTGATGTTTTCCCCCCGTTGGACTTCCCTCCGTGGCCTGCACCGTCTCCACCTCCGGCGCCGCGGGCGCCGCGGCTTTCGCCGCCGCGGCCGCGGCGGCCGGGGCCGCCTTTTCAGCGTCGTCGGGGACGTAGCCGGCCTGGCGGCACCGTGGGGCACCGTGGGGCACCGTGGGGCACCGTGGGGCACCGTGGGGCACCGTGGGGCACCGTGGGGCACCGTGGGGCACCGTGGGAAGGTGGCGATTTCCATGGTTTTTTGCTGGGAAAAACTGAGCAAAATCCGAGATTTTACGGAGAAATCTCGAGATTGGAGCAGTTTTGGGTGAAAAGTTGTTTTGAAGATATAAATTGAAAATTGGAAAATGTCATGAAATGTCACAATCATGTTTCACACGTGTCTTTTGAATGATTTTGGCAGAAAGAAACCAAATCACCCCAGATACTAGGCCTTGGCTGTGTGTGAGCCGGGAAGCAATCCACGTCACTAGTGGTGAATATGTGCATTGGATGAATGAACCCCCGATGAAGTGTGAATCTAAAACCAGACTAACTTTACCTATGTGTGGCTATCAACCACTGACAAACCGTCGCTAAATCTATGTTTAGATTTGATATTTCACCAGTTATCTTCCAGCAAAGTAACATAGTCATAGAAAGTCCACCATGAACGTATGTTCAGGGGAAAACTATGGATTTCCATCTGCTGCGGATGCACCAGATCGTAACTATTAGTAACTTTGAAAGACTGTACCCTCTGGTGAACTAACATAACTATGGAAAATCACCATTTTATAGCTGGGTCAATCCACTATTTCGGCCAGTTTCCATAGCAAACTAAGGGGGATTATAATGGGATTCAGCATCTCCCAACTGGTGCAGGATTTCACTGGCCCATCCATTTTCGTAGATTTTCACCGAACCAAAGGGTGCTTTGGAGGATAACCCCACTGAATGGGGACTTACCATTAAATCAACACTATTAATCCTGGATGGGTTGATTTTATTTATCACCAGTTCACCACATCCAGGTGTTAATCTCATGTCAAGCCATCTTCCGTTTTAATCCATATCAATATGAACCCATCCATCCCAGTGCCATGGCCAGTGCCCTACTCATGGCCAATCAGCCAGATACCCTGCAAAATTTATGACCAAGTCTGGCTGGTGAACGTAGACTCTATCCCCATACCAAAAGACTAGTTAGGATCTGGCTGGTGGTTGACCTACCCCTGTGAAAAATATGAGTTCATCAAATGGGATGATGACATTCCCAACTGAATGGAAAAAAACATGTTCCAACCAGGGATTAGTTTCTACCCATCCAGCTGATTGACCTAGATTTTCGGACCATTATACCCTCTGGTAAACATACAAGAAACTATTCAAAGACCTTAAAAAGGATGAGTCTACCCATCCAGTTGTCGAGACCAAAATCCATTGTTTGCCCATCATGAAAACTTGTCATGTTCCATAAGCCTCATACCAGTCGTGGTTTACATCCCAGTGCTATTTCTATGGTTATTTCAATGGCCTTATTGTTCCATAAATGAGGTTATGTATCACTGACCATCACCCACTTCAGGGTTTGGTAAATGTCCCCATTTTAGGGATTTTGAACATCACTAAAACACGTATCTGTGTCTGTTGGAGATTATATTCCCAATATTTGGGTGATGTTCGATTAGCACATTTACCAATCCCTACTTAGATGGGCCATGGGATAAACGTGATTCCTGGCTAATAACTGGGGATTTGTTATCCTCTATATATCTCAATTATAATCCATTTACTAACTAGTTAACTAACTCCATGGCCCATCTAAGTATTGGATTATTCGAATCCCCAATTTTTGTTGGGTAGTATAATCCCACTAATTATCAACCAAAAGGGCTCAAATGAACTGAAAAACCACCATCAATCATCCCAGTAGTAGTGGGTTTCATCAAAAAAACACATCCGAGTGCTATTTCTATTGTAATTGGTATATATGGTAACAAATCCCCAGTGACTAACCATGGCCCATCGCGTTGTTCCTAGGGCCCATCCCAGCCATCTCAGCCATCACAGCCATCCCAGCCTCCATCTTCCGGTCGCGCTGCCGCATCCGCATCAGCTCCCGCGCGCGCTTCGCAGACTCGCGCTGCCGCTGCTCGCTGTTGCGCGCCGCCAACCATCGCTGGCGCGAGACCACCTGACGCGGGGCTGGGGCCACTGGAGGGCCATGGTGGGCCATGGTGGATTTTGAAGGTCGGTGTGAGATGTGTTTAACGATTTAAGATGGTTGGAATACTATGATTTACTATGATTTACTATGATTCACTATGTTTTAATACGATTCAAGATGGTTGTAATATGTGGTTAAGATGTTAACATGTAGGAAGATCATCTGTGGAATGGGTTTTAACGTGTGTTTCATGTGGTTTGAATATGATCCTAATATGTTTCAATGATAGTTTTGATGAAGGGTAATTAGTAATGTATAACATGAGGGGAACGCATATCATATAATGTGTAGATTGTTTTGATATGTGTTTAAAAGGTTTTGATGTAACAAAACAATCAATATAAAAGCAAACATTTCAACTCCATATCAAGTATATAGTTGTTGTTACACTAGAATATGCAGATATATGATATATGATACAGTAGCTGATTCTCAAGGAAACATTATATGTGTATCTATACAATATATATATATATTTATTTATTTATATATATATATATGTATATATATATACCCTCCGGTAACCAAAGGTGGCTGGCTGGACAATCCCCGAACTTCATGGAGTTTTAGTTCGATCAAAGGGTGGCGCCTTGTCAGGCAGGGCGCTACTATTCTTCGGTTCTCGGTGCAGCTTCTTGTGATGCCTCGGATGTGTTTTTGGGTTTTGGGAATGATTGAACCAAAGGGATTTGAGAAACCCTTAAACTTTAAGGCTTGGGAACCAGATGGAAACCAAAGTTTTGAGCTGTTTTTTTTTGAGTTGAACCCCAAGTTGGTTGATAAAATCCATGCTATTTGGGTTCTTTCAAACTCTAATTTGCGTGCAGTGCAATGTTGGGGATATGGTAACCTGACCAGCTGGCCCCAGGATCGAGTGGAATCCCCTGTGACCTGTTGCTGGAAAAATCATAGTTTTCTATTTGATTTGCAGGTTCATGGTTAGCATCCTTGTTGGTGAACATAGATAATCCCATTGATAACAAAAGACTAGTTAGGATTAAACTATCCATCCAGTTTATCGACCTAGATATGTCGTTTGTACAACTGGTTGGTGGTTTCAACCCCTCTGAAAAATATGAGTCAGTTGGGAAGGATTCTCCCATATATTATGTAAAATAAAAAATGGTTGAAACCACCAACCAGTTTGCATCCTTGTTGCCGAATCCTTCCTTTTTTTGTTATGCAGTGGAACCTACGTTTTGCGCTTGGTCTTCCTCTATGTTTTTTTCAGTTCCCCTCCAAATCACGAAGTTCTGTTGATACATCCATGAGTGGTTTGTTTAGTCCCCATGTTCCAAGCCTTCTTTACCTTGACCAACCCAACTTTTCACCTGATTTTGATATTAAACTCCCACCCTAAAAAACAATCCACAAGGCACCCCCACCCAGGTCAAATCACAAACACTATTCTCAAGTCAACTAAGGGTGTTCCTCCCACTTGTGGCAGTAAAAACATACGTTGTTGGCTTTTATAACGGAGTTTCAAATGGTTAAATTCGTCCATCGATCATCGAACATGTGTCTATTATCTTCAGTATGTTCCCATATTCTCCCCATGAAAGGACCTAGAAATGGTAAAAGATTGTGGTTGACCCAAAGACCTGATAAAAGCAATTCAAAACATGCTGTAATTATGTAGATTGTATATATATATATATATATTATGTACATGGATGTGGAAGTTAAATCATGGATAAGTTCCATTGTGATATATATAGCACATCAAATATACTGATTAACATATCATAATATATATATATAATATATATATATGGTGTAGAAATATATGGGACTTTCCTAAAATTGGTTTTCCCCCCAGTTCTCATCCATTCGAGATTGGGACTTTCTATGAAATCAACCATCCAGCTATTGGGGTACCCATGGGTACAGGAAACCTCCATATACCAACAGGATGGTGCCCCCCACTTACAAGTTGGCTTATAAACCATTCTAACCCCCATTAACTATAGTTTTATCTACCATAAACCATAGACTTCAGCCACTTTTTTTAGGCAACTGAACGCTATCTTGTGGACCCCATCCTGAAAACATCTATTAACATATATATATATATGTATATATTGTGTAGACATATAAATATATGGATATACCAATCTGGTTGGTGGTTTCAACCAACCCCTCTGAAAAATATGAGTGGTTTCGTCAGTGATGATGACATTCCCAACTGAATGGACAAATAAATGCTCCAAACCACCAACCAGACACTCAGTAGGTTCTAAATATATCAATATATCAGCTGGACCTGAAACGAAACAGGTCAAACATCCGTTTCCATTGGAAGAATCCGATGTTTCAATGTATATCTATATATATATATATGGATATTAATAACATACTAAAATCCAAAGAAAAATATCCTGTAATATGAAGTTTTGCAATCAATAAATCCCAATTCCAATGGTTCTTTGCAAAAAACCGAAACGCCGAAGGGCTCATGCTTGTGATCCTCTGGCGGCAAGGCTTCTGCCTCCTCAATCGGATGATCCTGGCGGAGACGGAGTTTTTCTGTGGTCAAGTGACGATATTTCTTAGACAATGGATATAGCCGGAATATATATAATGATATAATATATATATATATGTATAAATATATATATATATGTATATATATATATGTATATATATATATGTATATGTATATATATATATGTATATGTATATATATATATGTATAACCAATTGGGATAAAGTGGGAAAATAACCTTTCTTGCTGGTTTATCTAATGAATCCCAAGTAGGTGAAATTTTCTTGGTTCATCCGGGACAAGTAGGTTTTTCAGACACTAGAAAATAACTGGGGTAGTCTAAGTTACTTACGATTCGTGGGATGAACCACCAAGTAGGGGAATAGATTTGCACTTGTTGTTTTTTTTTGTAAATATTGGGTTTCGAATGAGTTTTATGTGGAAACTGAAGTTATGAAGTGGGTTTCAAATACTGTATACTGGGTTTGAATAGATGTTTTTAATCGTTGGGTTTGTAATGAGTTTTTAAATGTTTATTTACACATATTGAAAACGGTTTGCAATAATGGTCTAAAATAGCTGATATAAAATATCATTTTGTGTAATCATGGTCGATATATATACATAGGTATATATATATATATAGGTTTGAGAAAAATATATATTGTTAGTAACTGGATTCTTGTTATATACATGTTTATATCTATATACATGTTTGCAAGAAATGTTCTTAACATGTCTGGTTTGATTCAATATATTTGTATGGTGGATATCTAGAATGTAAATATAGTTGGAAAAACCTGCAACAGTAAGCATGACTTTAGAACCTGACTTCTATCCAAATGCATTTCACTCCTGAATATGCATATCACCCGAATAGCGGAACAAAACATTCATGAAATTATCACCAGTGTTAGAGAAAGAAAGTCCTGGGATTGGTGGACCCATCCAGGACAAAGTTAGAAATAGCTATTGAACCGGATCTATATATACAGAAGGGGGTGCGAGTCAATCCGCACGCTCTACAGGACGAAACCCTGCAGAGGCAACCCCAGGATACTAATGATACAGTTCACCGTGCCCAATGAAACCTGTGCGGACAAGCCGAATCATGCAGTGCAAAAGGCACGAAGCGGCGAAATAACATGGGAAAAAACGGCATCGGTGAAGTGAGACAAACCGGGCTAAGCGTCACAAGGGAAGCCGTCTCAGTCCGATGCAATCAGAAGGCGGAGAAGACCTGGAACTTAAGCTTCATCAAGAAGAGCCCGTGTGTCAGGGATGGTGACCCGCCGTCGGAGGACTGCGCGAGCATTTTCTCGATGCAGGGTGATTCCAAGTGCTTGGTAGAGCCTGCTAGTTTCGAGAGAAGATGGTTCCCCAGTGCGAGCAGCAATCGCCGCGCCCAACGAGTTCCAGGTGGCTACGGCCGTTGGGCCCCAGCCCCCGCCAATTGCTTCAGCAACCAATGGGAGGAATTGAAGGCCCTCTGCTTGACACTGCGCGTGGGTGTTGAGGAAAGCACATGTTTTGGCTTCATAATCGGCAGCAGCTCGTTCACCTGCTGTGGCAGAAGCAGCAACGCTGCCTTGTCGAAGACCGGACGTTCACCCGAATACTCACCCACTCGGCATTTGTTTTTTTTTCTAACATCTACCGATTTGGAGGTGGTTTCTAATACAACCAACCAAGGCTTTACAACAAAAAAACTGCTCATTCGTTTTGGTCAGTTAAAACCTTGCTGATTGTGGTTCTTGTCACATGGTTTGTTGGATAAAAGGTTCATCTACCCATTGTTGCTGGTAAAGCAAACTATCAGAGAGGGTACTTGCTATCCCCCCAAAATAAAACACCCCCATTTAGGGGAAGGGATTGATGACAAATCATGTCAGTTACCACTGGTGGTGAACTAACTACCCACTTACCCGGCCTGGTAAACATACAAAAAGCGAACTGGAAAATTGCCATTGAAATAGTGGATTTACCCAGCTAGAAAATGGTGATTTTCCATAGCTATGTTAAATTACCAGAGGGCAAGTAGCTTATAACCCCAGTTGTAGCTGGATTAACCCTACTTATCTCACTGGATGAACCAGGGATATAACCTACTTAGGATTCGTGGGATGAGCCACCAAGTATATATTCATGTGTTCATGGTAAAAACCGATTGCCACTGACTATGAATAACAATATTTCAGCCCTGGATTGACTCCCTAAACTCTCTATATTCGCCGATGGCATATGGAAATCAAGCATCAAAAATGTAGGTATTCATCATATCCTTACGTATGGTTGATTTACTTCAATCAATGGGAATTTCAGGAACCTAACTTGGAGGTACCTACCATATATAAGGCCAATTATTCAGGCCTATGTAAGGGAATATCCCCACAAAATATGG